GAGGGACAGAGAAACAAATTAATCCTATTTCAGTGGTTTATGGAACATGTGGTGTGTTGTTTGTTGTATATTCTAAATAGAATTTTATGGAAATGACTGTAGTTGTAAAAAAAAAAGAAAAAAAAGTTGTGATCTGGAGAGACATCTTTGAAAAAATCAGATTCAGTAACCAATTGCTTAGCGGAAAGTCAGGAAAGTTTGCCCTAAAAAAAAAAACTGGCCATATTGCCAACACCTGAAAGTTGCAACCTGTTGTATGGGTTGGGTAGAAAGATTGGCCCTGCTTCAGGCCATCTTGAGGTCACATACTACAACAGGGCTGTGGTTAGGTCAGAACAAAAAACGATAAAATCAACTTTACGGTTATGGAAGATTTACTGCCTAATGGCTTGAAAAAAATGTAATGGGTACCCCATAGTGTATCATGTACAGCCAAAAAGATGCTGTTTGAATTGTGCATAAAAGAACAGCAGGAGATATCTTCTATCTTTTTGAGGATGAGTATCTACAGTTGTAGATGTGATCGTTGATGAGGGAGAAATAATTTCAGATGCACTTCACATGGCCAGTGTATTTCCCATGTTATTTGAGGCTTATTTTGATCATACCTGTATGTAAATTTACATTCTCTATTCATTCTTCCAAGATGGGAACAATTACACTAAATGTAGGCCTACAATACAATTAAGAAGTTTGGACTAATACTACTAATAGGCAAATTCTTCTGCTGGAGAAGGATTAATGAAATAATGTAGGCAATATTATCTCTCCAGGGCGCGACAAACCCGCTTGCCCGACGTCCCGGGGCAACCAAATTGAGCCGTCGGGCAAGTAAATCAAATTATCACTTGCCCGATTCGGGCAAGTGATACTTTTACAGTAATTTCCTAGTGTCCAAGAACTCTACCATTCACCCATCAACTTCTTACCCGTCGTCAAAATCCAGAAGCAAAAAAGCGATCGTTCCGATTTCGAAAAAACTTCACAGACAGCTAGCCAGCTCAGCTAGCTCAGCGCGCATGCAACAGTGACACTTCAAGCCATGAATGCCGCTCCGCCTCCACGCACGGCCGGCCGTGAGCTAGCTAGAGACAGCTAGCGCGATCGTACCAGCTGCGAGCTTATTCGCGCTCTCTCTCTCTAGCTCTGCAGGCCGCACCGACAGGCCTTTGCTATTCTCTGATTGCCGATTGGTTGAATCACGCCAAATATGACGTCATTATTCTAGGGAAATGAACACGTGCGAATCGGAATGGAATAAACAACAGGGATTTTCTAGTAAGTACAAAAAGTCAAATGTTTGATATTTATTCATAATGACTGTTAATGATTGTGAACATATTATTTAAAACTCGCTGCTCATATAAATCAGATGAATGTTTTTGTCTCGTTTTCAATTTATTACTGCGGTCTCAAGATCCGACCGAGCGAGTCATTTTGATAATAGTATCGAGACCCCCAGAATATAAGCCGTTGTTGTTTTGTTTTCATGGTTTTAGCGACGTTGTTTAGTCTAGTTTTCGCATACTTATCCGAGATTTATCGTAAAATATCTTCAATATTATTATTTAGTAAGAATTTACAAATTTTGGCATGATATTTATAGCAGTGAATGATGAAATAAAAATGTCCGTACTTTATTTAAAATAGTTGATTACCCATTATTTACATGACGTTTCTTGATGGAAGAGTTGACCCAAATTATTAACAGCTGAAAATTAGCCTACGTTTCCAAATGACAGCGGCTTGCACAGACACACATGTGATGTTGCACCATGGTACATGTGGCTACCATTAATGACATGTTTGTATCATATTTTTTACAACAGGGTCATTATGCTTTTTTACATGACTGAATATTAAAAACTTAAACCTGCTTGAACCATTCTACCTTGCCGAGATTCATGTGAATCTGATTATTTATGGAGAATCAATAAAATGCGTTTTTTAAACCTTCAACCATCCTTTGTTGACCATTTTCTTTGACATATTAGGTTATTATTCAGTACAGTTACACTGTACATGTATGTGCATTAATTTGCTATCTAAAACACTAACTTATCATTACGAGATAATAAATGCTTTAACCTCGAGTCCTTTTTCGCTTTAAAGTTTTGGGCAAGTGGAAATATTGTTTGGGCAAGTAAATTGAAAACCCACTTGCCCGACAGGGCAAGTGGTGAAAAAAATTCTTGTAGCACCCTGCTCTCTCTCTCTCTCTCTCAATCAATCGATCGATCAATCGACAAAGGGCCATGTCACACAAGAGGGAAAACATAAAATATCACTTGATGAAATATATATGACATCCACCTGGCGAAAGAATGAATTGTGTAAAACGTAGTGTTTCAAAAAGAAGTTCTTTTCATAAAAGGTTACAATTCTGAAATTAAAATATAGACTTCAGTCTTGAAAATGATTACAATTCTTATTGTATCAAATCAACAGCTGTAAATCTCTGCAACTGATTCCAAATTCATTTCAAATTTCTCTCAGAGTAAAGAGAGGAAAAAAACATTTGGCTGGAAGCAGGACTACCGCAAAGGCACCCCATGCATTGTAAAATGCTGTCTATGAGTATGACCCTTTAACTTTTGAACTTTGATACTGTTAGAGTGTAAGATAGTTCGAGGTTGCGAGATGTCTAAATAGATGTTGCTGCAGGGACTACCCAATAATTACTCACTAAAGAAATATGCCGTTTATACCGCAACAACTGCAGCTTTGTCTGTCGAGTATGCCATCTATCATCAATCTGCTCCAGGGTATGCAATCCATATAAAATTTGATTAGTCTTAACAAAGAACCCTGCCCATTACATTTGCTTCTCGTTTGCTTCCAGTTTTGAATAAGCAATTGTGAAAATTAAGTTCATGAACATGTAGCAAGTTAATTAAGTTTTAATGTGTAAAGATGACTTAATGCACAGTTTGCAAATCTGTGCTTGAGATAACGGCAATAGTAAACGACTGAGAAACAATGAATGAGTGATGAGCAATTCAACCCTGATAAGCTCCAAAATGTGGTTTGGTAAACTTAAAATTAGTTCTGTCTAAACACAAAAGCATACAAATCTACAACAACAAACTTACCATTTTCCCATTATATGTTCAATGTATTCTCTTTTCACTGAATCTAATTCAGAAAAATCTCCAATGAACAAAAAAGTATTTTTTAAAACAATAATTATGAACAATTTATGACAGTAATTTGCATAAATAACCTATATAACCAGAAATTTGTGCCACATACATGTATCTATTCTTTAAATATTTTTAAATACTAATAACAGACATTTTCTAGGCAATAAATCTTTATTAACTGCAAAAATTTAGTACTGTAAAAAACTTCTGCAAATCTGGACCACTTGTGAAGATTTATAAAGTTTGAGTACATAAATTCATCATTTTTCAGTACCATACAATGTCGAGAGAAGTCAGGTAGCTAACTTTAGCTATATTGTTTGATGATATCACTTCCATCTGTTTAGCATATGCTAACCTCTAAATAATGAGCTCATACTTTGATTTTTATTGATAATTTCCTGACAAGTCAAACTGCTGGCTGACTTTGTTCCAGAACGTACACTGATGATCCAAGAATTTGCTTAACTGATGTCACAAAGTCACAAAGCACTTGACAATCCACAACCTACATCATATGTAGATTGTACTTGTACAAAAAGACATGTACATGTAGATGTCCACTGTATCTGCATGCATAAACAACAAGGTTTATAAACAAGATTGGTACTAACATCACAAGAGATTTGCTTACTGTCTGTAGTAAATAAATTACAAATGGAACTTAATTTTTATAATATTATTTGAAAGTAGAAAGAATTTAGACTCCAGAAAAAATACAAAAGTATATAATAATTTAGGAAATATAGGGAACTTGCACATCAGAACAAGATACCGGTTCACTAATACTGTTTTCACACTGGCAAAATTTTGCTTAACCCGGACTATAGGTTAAAGGGGGGTCTTAGCCCCACCTGCAGTCCGGGGTTATTAAGCTTATTCCACTTTCTGTTCAGACACGTATTTACCAAAGAGGGCTAGCCCCACCTATGTATGGGGTTAGCTGGACCTGCAAAAAAGCAGGGCTAACCCCGCAATTGTGGTGCTAATTCCGCAATTGCGGTGCCAAGTAAATGAATGAAAACAGAAACAAAAAAATAGTCCGGTACTACATGTACGCAATGGTGTACTGTAGTACGGGGCTAATAAATTGCAGTGAGAACAGCATGAATTTTCTCATTTCGGGATAGGCGCTTGGTACAGTTCTGACTAAAAAAGTGTGTGTGGAAAGCCAGAAAAGTTATTCCAGACTTAAGGATAGTATGGGGCTAAGGCGCTAAGCAAAGTACTGCGTTAAGCAAAACAAGTGTGAAAAGATTAAATATTACATACAAATCATTGCAGATGACTTGGTTTGTCACAAACAATATTGTAAACTATGGCCCCTTAGAAATGTTTGTAGAAAGTTATCACTGTTTATTGTCTTTGTTTGCTTTTGTACTAGAAAATTATAATTGGGCAAGAGGTAAGTGAAAGAGACAGAAAAAGAGAAATATCACAATGTGAACATGCTGCAAATTCTCACTGTGCCGATATAGGCCAGACTTTAGCAATATGTACAGAATACACACTTACACTGTATGATCTTTGGTATGACCTACACGTATAAAGTCCAGACACTTTTATTTTAGGTAGAAAGTCTGTGGCTCCAGGCCCATTCAAAAGCAAATTTGGAGTATGCTTATTTCATCAAGTCAGAAATTGATACACAGTTCAGATCGAAACAGAGGAAATTGTTCAAATTGAATAACATCATTTCCCTTTATTACATGTACACGTACATGTAGGGCCTACCTAACAAATTCACATATTCCGCTTTCTTCTTCTTCTATGTCTGTAGTCTGTGATAAAGTGAAAAGACTTGAATTTGTCATTCAGTCTCAGAGATTCATATTTCTATATTTAATTTTTTTTTAATTGTGTAATTTGAAAATATGTTCTGAGGGCAAGAAATCATAATATCTTAGGTCTATATCACATAAAAAGGAGGATTTTCCAATAATCTTAGGGTCAAAGACATATTTCTAGGTAGAACCATTTTCCATCTGGAGTATAAAAAAACTTCCCATACTCAAATAAAGTGCACAGAGGTCTTTTAACAAGTCACCAATGCAACATGCACCTACACCAATTGTTAGTCTTCCCACAACCATATCGAAAAATTTCCAGGTCAGGAGATCAATACAAGTTCATTGTCATTTCTAACAAATAAATCTGTATGTGAACAAAAAAACTTTCTCTTAATTCTAATACTAATACTAATAGTTGTACATTCAAACTCAAAGCTGTTGTAATCAATATCAAAGTTATCATTTCAACTAAGATTGTATGAATCTGACAGAAATGTGCCCCAGTTTGTCGGTTCACAAATAGCTCTTTGACATTGACCCTCTATGACCATGTATACAACACACAAAACTGTGTGCTGAACAAGGCCCTTAACAAGTTAACAGCATTACCACATCACTGAGGAATGTAGCTCACCCTCTCGAGGGAACCGAGCAGTCAGTTTCAATGGCTCCACTTCTCATTCTGAGCAGGATTGTTGAAATATCACTCGTCAAATAACACTCCCACATGTATAAATGTAGCCATTTACTCTTTTCACACTCATTTTGCTTAACCCCATACTATCCTTAGCCCCGGACTAACTTTTTGGGGCTTTTCACACACACAGTTTTAGTCCAGTCAGTGTGAAAACAGTACTGTCTAACTTACCGGTATACTTTCTTTAACCAGAATTCGAGTAAATAAGCCCACAAGAAGCCAATGGACCCATGGTTTAAATCAAATTATCTAACTCCTATTCGAGGGAAATTGTTATTGGAGAATAGTATGTGTTGCTATACATGTAGGATAGGGTAATGTGCATCAAGTTGTTGCTGACCTGTAGACATTTTCAAAACATAATAAAGTCATTGATTCACTAACAGGAAACATTATCTAATCTTATTCTTCTCAGACAAGAAACAATGTAATTAACAGCTTTGTGCGTATCGCTGTTGATTTGTGCACGACACTAAAACCTCCCATATATTTAATAGAAAAAAAAGGGTGACAATACTTGACATGTGAACAGCATGTAGAGTAGACACAAATGTCTTCAATAACAATTACGATTTAACAATGATTAACAATATAATCGTTAAAAAAAGAAGATATTGGATGCCAGAAAATAGTTGTTGGAGGCTCATTTAATAGCAGTGTACAACACCAATATGCAATATATTTTAAAGTTAATAATTATGGTTGATATGTGATTGGTCCTTTAATCATACACATGTGCATAATTCATAATTGACAGGGAGTGGAATTAAAAAATGGCATGTGTACTACAGCTGTCAAACTAATCTTGCCTAACAGCACAACGACTGTTGCATAGAACTACAACATTACAAGGCATCTGTACAGGACTAGAACTTTCAGCACTTCTTGGTCATACAGTCATATTAGATTTCCAATTCAAAACTTCAACTGATCCATAGACATTGAAAAAAGTTTAAGTTAGTACATTCAATAGGGAAATACATTGTTCTATCACAAAACCACATCCACATTCATCACAAATAATGGTGACAATTGGAAGGGTGTTAGAAAATAGTCTCATACAGGGCACAACAAGAGTTCCTACATGTATTTTAAGTAGGACACTTCAACAATAGCCCCCAAGAATACCCACTCCTGAAGGGGCTCAGCCAAGCAGAGATCCTACATTGTGTATTCCAGGGCCTATTCTCTCTATTCAACAGGAATTGACATGACACAAAAGACCCCTCATACCAACCCAACCCTCTCATAGCACAAAGTATTAAGCTGGGGGATGAGAAAACTGATGCAAATTGAATGGACGCTCAAACCCATCCCCCTACCAGTGCCCATTGATATGTATGCGGTGGACTGTTTGTCACAATCTGAGACAGGGTCAGTCCACAAAGCCTTTCAACAGAGCTATTTGTACATGTAGTACATTGTAACTCCATCATGGTTGTTCTTCGGGTCTGTCATATTCTTATATCACCGATAAAACTTAAAGTAAAGATAATAATGGGAAGAAGTGTACTTACCACTCATTGATAGCACCAAAATGGTATAATGCAGCATATTGACAGATCTATATCTTTCCCCTGTGAAGATTGATACAAGCAAAAAACACAAATTGTTGACATGATTTCAGCATAGACTGAGGTGTTTGAAGTTTTGAAAGGGGTCAGGAAAAGAGAAAGTGTGAATTCTGTAATACCTAACAAATCAACATAAATAGTGAATATAACTTGCTCAATTTGTATTTTTTCAAGCCTGTAATAAAGTCTTGAACATGGGCACTATATTTTTTCCTAAAAGATATAAAAATTGCTTAAAGATCAAATTAAACAATTGGAAAGAACAAAAGCAGAAACCCTGAACTGATGTACCAATAACAAATTATTTCTAGATTTACAATAGTTTGAGATGGACTACTTTATTGAATGGACATCTCTTTCAAATCATCAAGTAATGATTTATACATGTTCATAAAGATCTTCATCAAGATTATTACATGTACGTGAGGTATTGACACAGGATATATTTAGTTTGCTGCCGGTCATCTATCCATTTTGAAGACTAGATAATTCAACATAGGACTCAACCAGATACTTGGCATACATTTTCCAAAGACACATCCCTCCCTGGCACTAATGTCAACATGCTAAAACCCAAATCATTTTTAAAACTTTATTTCTAGTTGCCTTTGTCAATTTTACAAAGAATTCTAACCTGGCCAGTCTTACTGTCATTCAATGCAAAAAGTGAATCCATTTCTAAATTCAGACTGTTCCAGGACAAAGTCAACCTGAATATATTACTCCCACACCTTTGTTGTGACACAAAGTTGCACTTTTATTTCCACAACTGTTTACTGCAAATCAGATTATACAACAAACAGAACAATTTATCAGGATCCTGAAAATAACAGCCCCATGGCATAGCATTGTTATGATTTGGAAGCCATGACACTTGGGATACTTCCTGGGATGGTGATTTTTGTGGTTTTGGTGGCATCTGCTCTAACTACTGCATTACGGGTGGTGAGGTTTAGGTGTACAGACGGAAAACAGCAAGACTTGTCTAGACAATAATGAGATATTGAGGAAATGGGGGGGGGGGGGGGTGGTAAGTATTTAGCAGAGGAGTGTTGATGTCTGAAAACTCTGAATAGCAATTATGATACAATTGATGAACTAATTCAATACTATAGAACAGTGCTCCGGAAAATTACTTTTTAGACAATCATTTTTTTGGAAAAAAAAGTAAAAAATTATATTGCAATAGCCAATAGAGAATACCAAACGATGGTAATTGCATATCAAATAATTGCAGGATACCACAATCACAAACCAGACAACAAATCATCCATCCACATCCTTCCACAAAAATTTGTCAATATAGAAATGGAAGTTTATAAAACAACTATCATCAATGGAATTCGGCCTTTGTAACCAAGTCAGGCTGAAAGATCAATCATCAGGTCCATGGTTTGCTACAAAAGAAAGCATGATATGAAATGTAATTTACATGCACCTGTAGAAAACGTAAAACAAGAAGATTTTCCAATGATTCCAATAGATTCCATCAAATTCAATTCTTTTCTGCACTGACCTTGTCATTTGGGTCAAATTAAAACTTATTTTGGTATTTGTGAATTTCAGAATTTCAATTTGAATTTCCCTATCATTTTCCTCTATTCCTATTCTATGAAGATAACCATTTAATGTTCAAATACGTCAGCCTCTTTTCAAAATGTTCATCTTCTAGCTAGATACCAGTCCAGAGGCAATACTACCAATTAAACACTAAGCTATCTCCACCTCCTGATCCTTCTATGCATCATCCTCTTCACCTTCCATTTAAAAGATACAGCACTATTTAAATAACAACCAAAAATACAAACTAAAGCAACCCACTGAGAGTATTTCTGGCACATGGGGAAACAATACACAAGAATGTTGAGAAATGATCAGTCTTGGTGAACAAATTTAGCATAGTGCTGCATCTTCTCCTCCTCCTCATTAAACTTCTTCTTTTCATTCATCTCCCCCACCTTATTCTTCTTTACCTCCTTCCCTTTTCTTCTTCTTCTTCCCCTCCTCCTTTTTCTTTTTCCTTCTTTCCTTCTTCTTCTTCTTCTCTTCTTCTTCTTCCTTCTTTCCTTCATCTTCTTCTTCATTTTCTTCTACTTCTTCTTCCACTTCTTCTCCTTCCTCTTCTCCTTTTTCTTCTCCTCCTCCTGCTCTTCCACCTTCTCCTCTTCTCCTCCTCCTTCCTATTTTTCCTCCATTTATACCAGTTTCCCACATTCAGGACTGTTTGTCAAGCCTAATTCCATTTCCATAGAGTGTGCATGGACATACACCATCCAGCTAGTTTATCCATCGACACTGAATTACCATTTCCATCGGCTTAATGGCCAATGCATGTACAGGAGGAGCACCTACATGTACATTGTACATCCGGTTCCTGTGACCATGCAATGGGTTAATAATTCAGAGAATTTTTCTAAAAAAGTATTATCCCAAAACATTATGGACACTTTGAATGCTAAAATGTGAACATTACATTTGAAATGCCCTAACAATTAACATAAGATTATAAGATTGTAGACTCCTCTAACCAATTTTTCTTTTCCTAATTTGCAGGAATTACTTTTAAAAGTAATTTTAAAACATTTTGTTGTAGATTAGTCTAGAATCTATGTGCTTATTTTTCAAACAGAAAAACAAACAAAACACAAATGCGCGCCTCGAGTAGACCGTAGCCACAGACCAAGAATGCCATGTGTATTGCTCATGGAACCTGTTCAACTAGCTGATTTGACTTATTTAGATGCAGATGTGTGAGATCTATGACAAGGAGCTGGGAGCTAGATAAAATTAGCAGACATACTTACGAGGTAGAGAGATGAACTACACCCTCTCTTGAGGTTGCCAAAATTGAACTCCTTCACTCTGAGTGAAAAGCAGCTCAACACAATCCAATCAAAAATCAGGCTACACCTGCCCGAGTAGCGTTTTCCACCGCTTTCCTTTGCCCTCTCCTAGTCCAGGCGGCGGCCATCTACAGCTACATACACGGACAGAGTAATTCTTTACAGGACAGAGCCACAGAACCTGCACAATGAACCCGGGTATAGTATCGAGCCTGGGTGCACTTGTCGGCTCCAGCTAGCTAGCAGCAGAGAAATTTGCTTGTTTACAAGGTTCGTCCAAAGTAGGACGGGGATGATAAAACTATGTTGCGGTAGAGGGACTTTTGACAAGTAAATTTCGGAAGGCTATCAAGAGATGGCGCTGTTGATTTATAGAAAGACGATTGATTGGAGAATCAGTAAAGCTCCTCTCTCTCTCTCTCTCTCTCTCTCTCTCTCTCTCTCCCCCCGAGTGCGTAATCGGGTCCACCAGAATAATGCAATCAGGTGTAACATTGAATTGTGAGGGCTCAAGATTCAAGATCTAACCAGGCACGTACGCAGGGAAGAGGGGGGGGGGGGGGGGGGGGGGCGAACCCCCTCATGTTTTTTATGTGTTTTTTTTGGGTACCCCCCCCCCCCTCAAATTTTTTAAATAACAAAAAAAAAAAAAAATAACAAAAACAAACTTTTTTTGGTTCTTTGAGCTCGGGGATCGCGCGATCTATGTGAGAGGAGTGTTAAGGAGGCGTATCAGATTGAAGAATAACAAATACATAACAAAACGACAGAATCTGGACTAATTTGAATAATAAAGTGGTTTCTTAACAAGGTGGTGACTCTCCTCTACACAGGGCCTCAATTTAACATCCTATTCGAGGGACGAAGTGTTTTCCACTGTAACTGTTGTTTACATGGGCTAGATTCGTTGACGCTCAAATTACCGACTGAGCCAACTTGCTATAATACTAATGTTAAAGATGACATTGATGACAAATATTAATTATGATAATAATAATAATAATTATGATAATAATAATAATAATAATTATGATAATAATAATAATAATAATCATAATAGTAATAATAATGAAGAAGAAGGAGAAGGAAATCTTCATTTATAATGTGCCCACTAGTAATACCGTAATTTCGCATTAAAATCGTAATTATTTTGGTGATCATAACATGGGTGGCTAATTGCTGGATCTCTGCTTTTGTATTAAAAACTTCTTTATTTTCAATTTCAATTCGTACACATACCGTAGTCCTTTCTATTCTTTGATTTTATGTATTTCAGTTTTTTTAATGAATATATATATAATTTTTGTTTTTATTTATATATGACTGCATTGTCCTTTTTGACAGGAAGTATTCTCTTATAGTATGTGTGGGTCGTTGAGTGCACGAAGTTCAGTTCCACACTGTTAAACGGGTAACATGCATGCACGATTGATTATTAGTCAACGATGGGGGTTTGTACCATTGTTAAACAACTGAATTGTTAACTTCTTTTTGTAAATTTGGGCCTGAGCGATCCGATTGGTTCCAGTAGATCCGTCTCACACTGCACTGTGCGCGTACAGTATTGTTGCGCGTGGCATTGTTTAAGCACATTGTGATATCATCAATTCGGTACTTGGTTTGTTTACATTAAAAGTGCGTTGAACTATTGACCCATTAACGCGCGTACGCGCAATCTAAAATAATACGCAACCTAGGCCTATATGCGCAATTAAAAGCCGCGGGATTAAACGCGTTGAAGCTAGCAGCTGTATATTTGTATGATTATACACGATTTCATCATATATCACAGATCCTCATTTGATTTTGATTTAAAACATCATCGAAAGATAAGAGGAAGAAAGCGGAGATGCCTCGCAATAATCACTGGTATTCACATTTGAAAGCAAATGATCTAGAGAAGAAGAAAGAGGTGTCTAAGTACATGAAGATGTATCGACTAATAAAGGTGAATCTTTTGTTTCTTTCCTTTCAAACTGAGTGAGTGAGAGAGTCGGAGAGAGTGAGGGAGAGAGAGAGAAAGCGGAAAAGGGGTAAGGGGGCGGTGGGTAGGGACGTTCAAGGAAGATAAAATAGATCTAGACCCTATATTACTTTTGTGTATAAAGAGATTTTTCATGTATTTTGCGTGAAAACAGTAGTAAACAACAGCAGTGTGTATAGCAGACAGAACATAGAGTCTATCCCCGAATGAAAAAAGCCTTAGGATAGCCTTACCCACCCGATGACGAGTTCTTTGCCAAGATCAGACACAGTAGACATACCTAGCTACTGTAGTTATTTAAGTCTCAAAGATATTGAGAAAGGTCTTATTTTAACTTACCTGTCATGTATAAATCCCTGAACGAATGAATGGGTGCGCAGACATAGGAAGTTTTTTTTTCAATGTTAAAATTGCTCTTTAGAGTATCAGGAATAATATCAGATTGAGCACAAGAGGATGTCGATCATGATATAAAGAAAACCCAATAGTTCATCAATACACACGAATTTCAATTTTTATAACAATGAACAGAACATCGATTAACTAATTTTCTTTTACTCTGTCTTTAACAGGCTGACATCCGTCATCTGATTTCAGAGTTGGCTCCCAACACGGCACAGCCTGGTAAAAGCAAGGCTTGTTACCGAGCATTACATCGTATCTTTCATGAGAAGTCAACTATCAGATCAAAGGAAGCAGCAAGGCTCATGCTTGCATTAGGGGATCCAGATTTGCTTCGAGCACTCCAACGCCGATATTCCAAGCCAGATTGCTCAGGTAGGAATGAATATAAGTGACTGTCTTGCTGATCAAGATATAACCTTTACATTTTTAGACACTGCGAATCCTAAGGGTAATTTTGATAGTTACAGCATATGGTAGGGTAAGTGCTCCCCCACCATTACCACCCTCTACCTCTTGTGGGCAGGTCATAAATACACGATATTGCAGTTGTAGGAATGTTTGTCGTGACTTTTCGAGCAAAATTGCAACTTGAATAGACTGTAGTAAGTTCAAAACCTGAAAAGGAATAGATTTACTATTAAATTTGGATCGATCTTTGCACGAAGACAGTGTCAATGTGTCAATAAAAAGAAATATAGGTATGCAGACATTCATAAAGCTATATCGTACTATCTTAACGTATTCAATTACAACATATTTATTTTATTTGTTTAGGTTACATTGATGTACAACGGAGATATAAACATTCGGACACCAAGAAAATACATGGGGTACCTGTAGGTCGCATTGAGATGTCTGGCGATGTAATTCATACGGTATTTTCTGAGACAGGGGTGACTCAAGACGCATCTCACGATTCTAAAGGAGACAAATCAGTCATGGAAAGAAAAGAGTTGATAAACAGTGAGCAAAGGAAGGCGATTATCAACAATACATCATGCGGAGATCAACCTTTTCCGAGTAGATCAAACTTAGGGGGTAACATTTCACTCCAAGAATACAGTTTTTCCGTCAGCGAAGACAGGAAAACGTGTCTAGCTACTTCAAGCAAACCGACGAATGGTACGGAAGGTGCAAACATCGGAGTCATAGACGTGGCAGGTTCAATAAAGTATGGAGTTCAAGTGACGAGCTCCTCTGTAAGTGCTGGTTGTCCACCTTTCAAGAAAACCTCTATGGTACTCACAGAGGAAGTCGTGGCAGACAAAAAACAAAGCGTTTGTTTGAGAAAAGATTTGGTAGGTATGTCTGCTCCGTCCAATATTCCCGCTAGGACAGATTCGGTCTCAAATTACCTTGAGAAAGCAGGCACCGTACAACCATTAGGGTATTTGTCAAGTTTATGTGCCTCTCCAGTTCCACAGGATTCTTTAGATCAGGCTACGCTGATGTGGAACCATAAGCAATATCCGCGGCCCTCGTCGGGACCTGCGATATTACTATCAGACAACAGTCCCGATCAAAAGAAACGAGTCCTGCATGCCACGAGTTTACACCGTCGACCAGGAGCTATTAGTTTACCAGACGGTAGGATAAGTATACCGGCATCGATTCCTAAAATGCCTTCTTCTACCTTAATTAATCGTGTGAAGAGCTCACAAGAAGTATCGCTGATGTCGAACATATCTCAGACTCGGAAGAACATTGTGATGACTTCAATGGGAATGATGGACCCAATGAATTCATCTACTAGATATGAACTACCCCAGGGCATCTTTGAAGACCTTCATGTTGTCAAGCAGCATCGCCGTAGTTGCTTTGCCGATGGCAACTCGTTAGTAGAGGTACGACCAAGATCAATGCCCACCGCGCCGACATTGATCGCCACCCATACTCCGGATGGAAAATTCAACGTCCCCATCGACATAGAGAGTAATCGTCGTGCTATCCTCGTCATAAATGCGATGAATAATGTTCGTCCTACTTATTTATCGAGGCCGACATGATTGGGAGTAGAAAACGCTCGATGTTTTTAATCATGTTAATTAATCGTAATCACTTTTATAGTCATGTTTTGATATTCAAACTCTACCTTGATATGGTGATAATCAGGTATTTCATAATCATTACCTTGATAATGAATAAATGGACCTGCAATCATGACTCAATGAGTTAAAGCTCAAACGAATTCTGGAGTAGGCAAATTATTGGATTTAACCAATTTTTTTTTTGTACAATTGGCAACTTTTTTTTTTTCAAGTATCGGGTATAATTTTGGGCTTAATCTCAGCGCCACATAGGGCTAACAAACTTTGTTTTAAAATGTCTTTACGAACGCAAGCAAAGAAACAGAGAGAGAGAGAGAGAGAACAATGTGATAAAGTGGATGATATATACATGTACATATAAAATGCGTACAGAAAGAAAGAAGCTAAATGCCAGAGAAAGTAAAAGCGTTCATGCATTACTTTCATATGAAACAAGAGTTTAAGTTTTTTAAATTGAATGAATTGAATGAATTGAAATTGAAATAAGTTGTGTTTCTAAGACGAATAATCCTAATATGTAGCTACCAAAACAATCATGAATACTGTAACTCGTAAAACGATTACTTATACTACTTATAGAACAATATACGATTTCGTATAGTGCTAGTTTTCGCTAGTGATCAACGTTACAGAATATCTTTCGTAATGTAATACTGCTGGATTAATGGTTAACTACATGCATATACTTTTCTACTCCCTTTTAACTGCCAAGACTAAATGGAATGGCAGGCTTTAACAGTAACAAAAGAGAGAGAGAGAGAGAGAGTTCTACGGTCAGACAGTAAAAGAGATAAAGAAGAGTAGAGAAAAGAGGGAGAGGGGGGGGGCATAGATTGAGATTTTACTACAACCTTGTCTGCTTGTGTCATGTGACCTCATTTTTGTTGCAAAAATTTTAGTTGTGAGATGATACACGAATAAATTACAGAATTATCAATTTCCAACGCGCTCATTCCTCTCTTTTTTAATCTTTTTTATCTTCAGTTTAGAAATCTCGTTTATCAGAAGACGCATTTGGATTACATGCGCTTAAATATTGAATAATTATTCTTATGAACCACTTCATGACACAATTTGAATCGCACGGCGTTTGCATTGGAGTTCTAACCCCCCCCCCTCCCCATCCACCTGCTGAGGTAGAAAATAATGATTGGTAATAATGATTCCCTGAATATGTATCAACATATTCAGGCAATACACGGTACTTGGTTATTTTTTTTCAATTCAATTCAAAAGACTTTATTTCCGTTAAAAACATACAAATATATACATGTGATAAAGTAAAGACAGTTTAAAATATACAAATTATGAGCATTGTGTTAAATTAATTTAAACAAACTGTGAAAATGAGTAGAAGGAAAAGGGAGCACTTGTAGGAAGCTTATGTTAGCTTGTTGATTCAGGCGTCCAAATGAATAAAAAAATTACACAGATATAATAACATAATACTGAGTAATGCGGATGTATTTGTTCTACCCCTCCCTTTACTAAGGTTTGTAGAGATCATGGCAATATGGGATTTCCAAGACAGTGTTTCGTCTATGAGAATACCTAAAAATTGAATATTTGAAACTTTTTCAATAATTGTTTGATCAATATATAATGATGGAACTTGATTTTTCAATTCTCTTTTGTTGCACTGAGCTGTTCTAAAAAGAATACATTTGGTTTTGTCTAAATTAAGCGATAGTTTATTTACCTTTAACCACAGAGATACATTCTTCATGTGTTCTTTAAACTGGTCTACCAGCGAGTATAAGTTATTATGGCTTAAGAACAAAGAGGTGTCATCAGCAAATTGTACAAATTTTAAGGAATGAGAAGAGTTGCATATGTCATTTATATATAAAAGGAAATATAGGGGGCCTAAATTTGACCCTTGAGGAATTCCAGATTTAATCAGTAATTTGGTAGATCTGTATCCATTATATTCAGTAAATTGGTACCTTTGTGAAAAATAACTCTTAATCCAATTCAATGCAATACCTCTGATACCATAATTAACTAATTTCTTAAAGAGAATGGAAAAATCAATGGTATCAAACGCCTTACTCAGGTCCATAAAGACACCAAATATAAACTGTTTTGAATACAAGGCATTAACAATTATATCATGAATAGATATTAAAGCATGGTCAGTAGAATAATGGGTTCGAAATCCAAATTGATTATCATGTAATATATGGTGTTTAGGTACAAAATTGTATATACGATCATAGACTAATCTCTCCATGATTTTTGAGAAGCATGACAAAAGTGATATAGGACGATAATTACCAATAGTGTGCTTATCCCCCGTTTTAAAGATTGGGATAATTTGGATACTTTTAGTTGTGAGGGTATTATTCCAATTTGAAGAGAGAGATTAAAAACATAAGCTAAAGGTTTTGTAATAACATATCTGACATACTTAACAATATCTGGACTAATATCATCCCATCCACACGACTTTCCATTTTTAAATGAGTACATTATTTTCAAAATTTCGTCTTCATTAATAGGTTTCAGAAATAAACTTTCCCTTATCGGAGGTATCATAAAAGAGGAGAAATTTACATCTTTACAAGTAGTTGCATCAATGGAAGAAGCTAGTTTTGGTCCACTATTGTTAAAATAATCGTTAAAAACACTGGATATCAATTGCAGATCATTTAGTGTTCTTCCTTCGTGTATAAAGTATTGTGGTAAGATGGGTTTTCGTTTTTTAAATATACTATGAATCAATCGCCATGTTTTCTTGAGGTCAGTTCTACAATCATTAAACCTTTGATAAAAATACATTTTTTTTTTGCCTTTCTCAATTCAGATGACACTTTGTTTCTAATCTTCTTATATTTTTCTTCATTTTCATATGTAGGATTACAACAAAACCTTTTATAAAGTTTTTCTTCAATAATAATAATAATAATATGACAAATTTATATAGCGCTTGTGACAAAAGTTTCAAAGCGCTGTACATGTACACAAATCAAAATTACTTCAAACAAAATCGATATTACTAATGGAATTAACATTACTCAAATTACCAAGAAAACAAAATATTACCTACATAACTTAACTAATTATCATTACTTATATTAACAAGAAAATCAAATATTTCTATCATAACTTAACAAATTGACATTACTCAAATTACCAAGAAGATCAAACATTACTAACATTACTAAAGAAATTAACAAAACATGTAAATTCCTTGGAAATTAACACATTATATCAATCTTATTTTTGTCAACAAGTTTAATGATACCCATAACTTTTTGTTTTTATTTTTCTTATTACTCCTAACAAAAGTGAAAGATTCATTATAATGCTTTTGAAAGTTGGAGAAAAAAAATTCATAGGCAACATTGGGATCTTTACTTCTATAAACATCTGTCCATTCTTCAGAAGATAACTTGCAGAAAAATGACTTCTTCGTGTTATCATTGATTTGTCTTATTTTTTCCCCTTATCATACATGTACTCATAACATCTTTGAGCACTATTTACATGTAGTACTACAAAACTGGCAAGTGGTCTGATACATCAGAGTATATGATACCAGCATTTAAATTTGAAGTATAAGAATTAATAAAAATATTGTCTATAAGTGATGCAGTAGTTTTTGTAAGTCTGGTTGGTTTGTTGATCATAGGTGTTAAACCATTAGCATATACGTTGTTAAAAAAAGTATTAATCCTTGTATCACTAGAGGACTTCAGGAGGTCTAAATTGAAGTCACCCATTATATATAGATGCTTATTCTCTTTAGTTAAACATTGTAAAATATCATCAAAATAGGTATTAAAGTCAACTACACTTGAGCTCGGTGGCCTATATATAACCAATATTACAATATTTTTTCCACGAGACACTGTGATTTCAATAGCAAAACACTCTTGAGTAGTTGTTATAACATTTAAATCATTTCGTATTAAATATGTTAGAGTACTAGAGACAAGACAACCTAATCCCCCTCCTCGACATGTTTTTCGGTCTAAATGTATAAACTCATAACCTTGAATACTAAATAAAGGTAGATTATGGTCTGATATCCGCGTTTCAGTTAACCCAACCACAGAAAAAGGGTAATTTAAAGAATTGATTAATTGTTCAACATCACATGAGTTTTTATTTAAGCTTCGACAGTTGATGTGAAGCAAGCTAAAATCTTGACGACCATCTTTATAATACTTATGAGTAAAATCTTCTGGAAGTATATACTGACATTCCTGACGTAGTTGATCAAAATTTACATCTGGATCCCGTTCATTGTTGGTATCTTCTTCGGTTATATTTAGAGATTGGGCAATGTGTGAAATTATTTCGACTTTGTTAAACTCATGACTAACAGGAAGCACATTCTCTTTAAATTCAACACCATCAGTAATGTGATTAAAAGGGAAAATGTCACGTAGACAGAAACAACATATCCAATCAGGATTACTTGAATGATTTTTACCTGCCAATAAAACTATTTCACAATTACTTTTATGACATTTTAAACAGCATTTGCAACATATACCAACATCTCCTAGACAATTACATTTAAAATCATCCACTATCTAGGTGCAGGTCATTTACATAATGGTCACAGTAGACTATCCTACAATAAAAATCCATCCTTAAATAACCTACATGCATTTTGAGAGAGAAATATCTAAACAAATATCCCACATCTAAGTACATCATATTAGAAAAAATAACAGTTTGTCTTGCATTAAAAAAAGAAAAGTGTAAGGAATTATAAAAGACATCTTAAATAGCAAAGTGTTCACAGCACCTACTCCAAGTTTAAGTTGTCAAGTTGACTTGTTGAGGTTATGAGTTTTTTCATGGGTTTGGCACCGTTTGTCTTAATGGTTGCAAATATTCTTCCGTCCTGGGACCAGGAGTTTTCCACCACTGGATTTTTTCTAGCTGTCATTAGAAGTTTGAAATTTTCACTAACCAGATCTTCTGCGATTGTAATTCCTGAACCTTTCAATTTCTTTTTCACGAGCATGATCTCACTCCTTTTCCTGTAGGAACAGAACTTGACCAGTATAGATTTTGGTTTGGCACCCTTGTTGTCCTGTGCGCCCTTGATATTGTCGGGTAAACTAGTGAAAAAGAGACGAGGGGTGCGTTCATTCGCTTATCCTTTTCTTGACTGGTTAAAACATCACAGCAAATCTGAGACACTGTCTGTAAATCTTCGCTGGGAAGTTGCCTGAATGTTACGATCATTCGGGAATCGCAGACAAAATGCATCTTAATGGTATCCGCGCTCGCTCAAAGAAACTTTTTACACGTAAACCGATGGGGATCTCAGCAAAATTTATTTATGCGGACCGTTACCCGGGGCAATTAAAGGGCATCTTTGAAAAAAACTATTGATCGGTAGATGGGCATGCGGGCATCTTTTAACAAACTATTGACCGGCAGGCGGGCAGGCTAAACTCTAAAATCACGACTCCAATTTAGACTAATCAGATGAATAAATTTATTCAACATATACTAAAGAGAGGTTTATAATGTACATTATTAAATGGAGCATGATTCAACTAAAAGGAAATATAATGAATATTTCTAAACATCACCTAACCTAAACATTCTGATTTCAGTCGCACCCTCAATAGAATACGGTAGTCGTTGGATAACGCGAATTGTTTGTGTAAACAATTGCAATAATTTGCTTTGTGGGCGCATTGATATGCCTTTGCTTGCTATTATATAAGTATATATATTTTTTTATATATACAGTATATACAGTGCGTCCAGGAAAAAACGAAACCGAGAAATTATCGATGTTTTATCATAACTTGCTCACAATTATAACTAATAAATGACACATATTTGTAAAGCTTAGATCATCCGCTTTAGTTTTGATGCAACTCATACATTGTATATTTTACGCATTAGTGATGTAAAACAATTTGAAGATAGGGTACTTAAAAGGCATTCGGCGAACGGTATCTGAATTTCAAAGAGAAAATTACATTTTCTAGAAAGTTTATTTTCTGCCCTTTTATATGACGCTGGCGGCGTGGGGGGGGGGGGGGGGGGGGGGGTGGGGGGGGTCATGGCTGAAGAAATGCGAATTACCAAGGTCATCATCGATTCGGAAAGGGTTTGGGAGCGGGTCGTATAATGTTCTTTTCCCCTGTCTCTTTTTTCTCTTCCTCTTCCTGTTTTTTCGCCAGTTGATTTTGGGGCACGTGTTCTTATAGGGCCATGACTTTATAATCTGGGTCATCCACCACAGTGGCGTGACGGGCGAAACAATTTAAGAGGTATTTAGGCCTTTAAAGCAAATTAAACGCCGATTTTGCGTCTATAACGATCGATCCATTGAATCACGAGAGGGCACACCATAAATGCTAAAATGTGTATTTCAAAATATATTATGGAAATACTCAACATATTCAATCCATGCGAATGCTTACTTCGGATCTCTAACTTCATAAATTACTCAAGACGTACTGTTTACTGTTCATGGAATACGTATGGGGATTCCCCGTACTGAAGAAAAATGGCTACTAAACCCTCTGACTCTTAATATCACATGAATGTTATATCACCCCTTCCTAAAACAAAAATCTCATAATATATCGAGACATGAAATATTCTTGCTAAATTTTTATCAGGCCTATTGGTTTTATACCTGGTTTTATCGATTTATGAAGAAGTCGAGGTCACTGAACATGCGTACATGTCGCAGAGAATTCCCGGGTCATATATGTTCAGGATACTAGTACATCGATTCCGTGAGTGTTTCCTGCAATGCCAAAGTACACCATTGTAGACTCTGTCAGTAAGAAGCTAAATGAACAAAATAAAATAAATTTACGTGATGGCTATCAGACTATTCCACGAGTCACATGATGTCTGCTGCCGGGTCTGCTGATTGTAAGGGGTGTATCACTCATGTGAGCACTACTTAACAACATGAACCGTTAAGAGTGCATAGCATTATCATTCGTCATCAGGCCTACTGCAGGAATTGAATATGTCTGGAAACGTGAGCGTTCGAATTTTGAATGAGGAGAACAATACAGGAAAGGTAGGTAAAGACGATGAGTAAAGGTTGATTATTGTCATGACATTCGGAGAGACAGAGATAGAGGGAGAGAGAGAGAGAGGAAGACAGACAGAGACAGAGAGGAAGACAGACAGAGACAGAGTAAGAGAGAGAGAGACAGAGAGAGAGGGGGGGGGGGGGTAGGGGGAGGGGGGCAAGGGTAGATAGTGATTGTGTATGTATGCAGTGGCGGATCCAGGGGGGGGGGGGTGCCCGGGCCCCCCCCCCCTTGAGAAAAAAATCATGTCAAATCACGTGATTTTTACCTTTTTTGGGGTTGGGGGGGGGGGGGGGGGGGGTGCAAATTGAATTTTTTTGAGGATCAAAAAAAAAAAATGTGCTCACTACCCCCCCCCCCCCCCCCCCCCCCCCCCACTGAGCGAATTTTTTGCCGGCGCGTTTTTCAGGGAGCAAAAAAAATTGTGCTCTGGACGGCCATGCATTATGGCTCAAGGTATGGGCACACAGAAAAAAAATTATGTTGGGAACTGGGGTAAAATGCCAAAAATTATTGAAAATTTATTGCATTTTCTGTGTTGTTTTTTTTTATTTATGGAAACTGCCCCCTACCCTAGCCCCCGCTGCGTACAGTCATGGTTCAATGACAAAGCAATGGCCTCGTAACTGAGGCCCCAGGATAAAAACCGTGTCGATGTGCTATATATTAGTGCCCTTTTGTGGCGCATTAATCCTCATTACTAACATTTATGACTTAAGGGCATAGGTCCCCTAGTTGATAAGCATAGTAGCATACACATACTTTAGCAGTCACGCAAAACACACATTGGCAAATTATTATTCAATAAAATCTGAGAATGTATACTATTATCTAGATCTATTATTTTTAAATTATTTTAAAAATAATTCCATCAATTGGGATTTTAAAAAAAATTCCATCTTTATGAGCGACAGTGTACAATAAAGGTTGTTGCTAAAAAATAAAAATAATATTAAACAAAATGAGGTCAGACTGGGCAGTGGCGTAGCGCCGTGGGCGCGGTCATAGGGGGAGGGGGAGCACCAGTCTAATTTAGTCTACTTTATAGACCATTGTTTTGTTTTTAAAAAACTGTCGTTAGTCACTGCATCCTTTTAGGAGCTCGTAAGTTTCGCGCCATTAATTAAATTATTAAATGGTTTGACCCTTGTACCGAATGGTCGTACGTTTTGTGCTGCGCAAAGATTCAATCGGTTTAATTTTGGCCATTACAAGAAGTGTGTTATTGATATAGACAAATGCTCAAGTCATGTACCATTTACAGTTCATGTTATGTATGTTATTACCAAAAAAATGTATGTTCGACTGACAGTATGGGCTACGGAGCCGTGGTAAGGGGGCTTCGGTGATCCCTCCCTTAACCCTATTTAGCCCGGGCTATTTTGAAACTGCATATAGCCCAGGGGGGGGGGGGGGGCTTCTAAAGCCCCCCCCCCCCAATGATCTCGGCCGTGTAACGACCGATCGCCGCGAAAATTTGCATACATGTCAAGTGAAGTGTAAAGAATACGGTAATATAGAATATGGTAATTTCAATTGTTTGAAAAATTCACTCATTTGCATATTTATGGTAATTTATGCAAATAAGGTCATAAAATTCACATTTTTGCCCATAAATCAGACATTATTCATATTTAAGCATTGCTTTTGACTACATATATTTGTTAGACCATTTGGAATAATAATACAACACAAAAAATTGAATAACCAGGGTTATTCCTTATGTTATCTATTGTTTTGATAATTTCTTATGTATTTCTTTGTTTTTTTAACTTATGTATTTTATTGTTTTTGTTGTTTTATTTCATTTCCAACTATAATTCAACTATTTTGACCCCAAAATAAACACCTAGATTATAAACAAGACCAAATAACCAATGTTTTATCTCTTTATTTGAAAAATGAGATTTCCATATGTTTTGTACACAAATCACAAAAATGAGCGATTTTCGGGCTGACATGCACAGACAAAAGGACACGTGACTTTGTAATGGTAGGTCCGATTTTCGAAAAATTTCTTTCAAAAGATGTGCAAGACTTGAAAGAAAAAAGTCACAAAATTTCAGTGCAAGATTTTCTCGCGTTAAAAAATTATCGCGAAAAATGTCGAGGGAGGGGGGGGGGGCTTCTAAAGCCCCCCCCCCCCCCGGGCTAAATAGGGTTAAAAAAAGAAGAAAATCACTGTCATTGCTTGTAACACTGACCCAAAACTTTATTCCACAAAAGCCTCCGGGCCGAGCTGGAGCCTGTTTAGTCCCCCAGTCCTTGGAGAGGTATAGGTGAAAACGGAACAAGGTGTGAATTAGTTATCTATTTTTTGTTTCTCTCCGATAGCCATGCAAGGTGTTTGTTTGCACGTCTGCTGTTCAACCGAACGTGCAGGGATTCATCGACGAGTTCAACCACAGATTCGGAACTATCCACGCCGATGCCCACTACTTCCAGCTTCCCTACAGTGGCATTGATCGTTTCTCTGTCAAAGGAAATGGGATGGATGTCATGATCCTCTGTCATTCCATCGACAATAGGAGATTTTCTATCACTGACGTCATGGATGCCCTTTACACTAAATTCTTGCCCAACGCTGCAAAGACATTAGGTATATAGCACAACGTAATCCACGTTCTAAAACAATGAAAAGAAATCTCTACAACATGCAATTACAAACAATTAAAAACAAATACATGTTTATACAGTAGGCTTGCGGGTGCACCATGTGTGAGAGAGAGGATTGAGGAGTCCTGAAAAGGACTCTGACTCGGTAATCTTTCTTGGGGGTGTGTAGTCCTGAAAAGGATGATTGACAATCATAGCGGACTGAGCAGGTTCTATACTAATTAATTTTATACATGTAAATAATAAAATTCAACAACGTAACTATGTTGAAAGTTTCATAAGACTAGCTCGCAAGGTTTTTCATGCGACTGAACTTTTCTGTAAAGTAAACCGCATTCCAAACAAACCAACTACGACCATGAACGTCTATCAACAGGAATATTTAAGAACTTTAAACAAATCATTAATCTGACTTCACGTAAGTTCAGGTTAAATTTATTGTTCAAGGAGCATCGGTTAAGCTTTATTGCTCCGATTATGATGGGTTATCACGTCCTACCGATTCTTTTTCATGGAATGTGAAGTGGTCTGAATATTTCTTTCTCATTTCGTCTTTTATTTAGGCAAACAGAACGTGTGTGTGATAGTGCACGACTTCCCTCCAAAGAAGAAGTTGGAAAAACCTGACCAGTACATGGCAGAAATGGAATCATTCAAGACAAAGCAAGGAACAACGTTCAAGAATGCTGCCCTTGTTATGATGTGTGGTAAGCTAGACGGACCAGTTGAGATGCAGGAAAGCAACTGGGATGACCTGAAGCAGTTTCTCCAGAACGCCGTCAAGAAGAGGCAGATTCCTAAAGGCTGTGGAGGTACAACATCCATGAAAGTGAACAAACTTTCGATCCTTGTATCAGTTCTTTCATTAATTATTTTCTTCATGTCTCTAGCAGGTGTCATTTATTGCATTGTGGAAGTTAAAAATTCGTTGCCTGCAGCCACCACTACCAAGCTCCCGCCATCGACTACCCGGCATCCTCAAACTACTTTACCTTCAACAACAGATACACCAGCCACTTCACAAGGAACTTCTCATCCGGCCCCGACAACTGTCACATCATCCGACCTGACAACTGATTCAACAACTATAAACGGAACAAATGAGATAACGTCTCCTACAACTATCACCGACACCCCGTCATATTCCCAAATCATCAATCAAACACTGAGTGGACTTACTTAGAGCCTTTCCTCCCCTCAAAACCTTTTCAACCATCCCACATCTGATACCAAATTATATAGGTACATGTATACTATAATTTGCCTGAAGAACCGACGTAAATATTTCCCTTCTACCGTATCTGCATTGGTAACTCCGAAGTTACTGAAAAGTCTAATTCAATTTACCCTTGTTCGATGTGTCTTCAATAGGTATATTTACATTAGTTGACAAATCAAATACAATGATTCTAATTATACCCATTCCAGGTAATCACTCCATGAGCCATCAGCAATGTACCTGAATACTTGCATACATCTCAAATAAGAACCTTACTTTTATTTACTTAGGTTTGGTCCACATTTAGCGTTTACGATTCCAGATATGTTTTGATAGTCTTTTGTACGTGGTATAAGCTTCGTTAAGATTTGACAGAAATCCAGGGCTCAGTGTTTGTAAGTCAAACGCCTTTTGAATATATATATTTTTAAAAATTAATCTAGCGGTTTCGTTTACATCAGATATCAAATAATTTTCTTTTAAATCATCTAGTCGAAATCAAATTTATTACACATGTCATTTCATATCGTTTTTGAGAATCACAATTCATCTGAATATTAGAGCGTTGTAAAACGTTTTAATAACAAGTTGTAAATGTCTACGTTTTGAACACCTTTACGGTACATATATGCTTAGCGAACTTTAACTATGTTTGCCAGGTGACGAACGAGGTATTTATATTTCTTTGTTTGCACACTTTCTTATATTATATGTCAGTAAATAGACAACGAATATTCCATTGCAAACTGTACCCAGGAGAAAATGTGTCACATTCATTATAACCAGATATTTTAACGATATCCATTTTAATCCCCGTTAACCCATTGACTACTAAATTGTCACATTCCTCATAGGTTTAATACAGGAGCCTCCAGGTTCCAGTAGGCAATGGGTTAATTGCATTAGTTAATCGGTTCGTAATACCATAGTTAAACAGACCCTACACAGGTTAAAAAGAAATGTGAACAGAACAGAAACTACGATCTCTATAAATTCGTTTGTACTGTTATCAAAATGCACTTTGCACTTATATGTAAATCATATAATTTAGTATAGCAACCAGTAGATGAAAGAGTGCAATATAAGCTACATATCCTTTGGCATAGAAATGTAAGCGGAAATAAGAGAATATCCACGTTATGAGGAGAGAATTATGTAGGACAATGTATTTTCATTCGTCAAAACAAAAAGTAATCCATACATTTTTATAAAACTATTTGTAATTATGTTTATTTCATATTCATGTTTATTTTCATATTTTAATATTGTATATTTGTGTGTTTTACTTTAAACCTTGAGGGAAATTTTATATCTGCACTTGTTTTTTACATGAGTAATGTATAATAAAGTCAACTGAAAAAAAATGATCTGACTTTTAAGATGTGGTGGTTGTTGTAGTTTTGGTGAAGGAACTGATACCTGCTATAGTAGCAAGTAAATATCATTCAATTAAAGGCAATCCTTTTTTTTTGTAAGTGGAAGTTACCTCTTCACTAACAAAATAACAATCTAACAGTAATTTCAGAAGTACATGTAAAATATGACGACTTTAAATACTTTACAATACTTGCATATAATAACGATGAGACACTTAATATTCCTTCATCGTCATTCCTTTATTCGTAAAGTGATGCAATCCTTGTTTACCCTAATGATAGATCAATTTACATAATATCGATATTCTCCTAATGTTTATTGAAATAAAATTTAATGTAAAATTGCTGTTATTTGATAACATCTTAGATACAGCTTGAATACAGCTTACTTTATAGCGGTGAACACTTTTGCCTACAAAGAATTTATCATTTACATGCTAATTCCTTCTAATAGCAATCCTCTGAGCTGAATGTTTGATGATGATGATTGTGATGATTGTATTATCTGACTGATACGAAAGTATGTTTATGCTTGTTGGTAAGCAACCCGGGGACCGACGGCTTTAAGTTCTCTCCGAGTGACTTGACTTGGTAATGAGGATTAATGCATTACCAAAGGGTACGGGCGTATTAACTTGGTTTCGAACCCGGGACCATCCGGTTCCGAGACCAGGGACCCGTTTCACAAAGCCTTTTTTCAATGACAAATGACAACAATCAGTGACGAATCTGCTGATAACCAATCAGAAGCAAGGATTTCAGTAGCTTACAACAAAGACTGTCATTTGTCACTGATGACAAGTTTTGTGGAATGGGGCCCTGTTCTGCTCTACCCCAAATATTTAACTGTCGTGAAGGATTACAAAATTATATTCGGGAATTAATTTACAAGACGTTCACATATTATGATCGAGTGTGTGAGATATTTTTATGAATGTTGCCAGTCATCCTGGAAGGACATTGATAATATAATCAAATGTTGACTTGTTTAAAACATTTCGTGGTGTTGTGTTGATATAGAAGGCGAATTGAAGCTATACATCATTAAAGAAAAAAAAACCTTGGATCAAAGTGGAAACTTCTCTTTACCTTGACCGTCATCATTTCCTTATCTGACATTAACATTTATGTATTTTCAAACGAATTGGGTACAATTACTCAGATTCTTCGAATGACTGCCAATGTATTGTTATTTGAAGAATGGGGAGAACCAATAAAAACCTTTAATAGATCATCAACAAAATTTATATACATGCATATGATATATGAAATATAACAGCGGATTCGGTAATCCATAAATTCCAAATCTGAATGTCGAATATAAAGATGGTATTCAAGTTCATAACTACTAAAAGGTGAACTAATCAAATTTAAACTTAAAAATCTATTTACATGTATTAACACGCGTCAATGAATCAAATTAGCTGGTGTAATTAATTCCTTGCATGCACAACTTTATTTTATTTTATTTCTATTGTCCAATCCTATATAATTTTTTGTCATCGCTCCAAAGTCGGCACATGATGCTGAACCTATAATGTAATCACCAACTCATGAGTATCACATACGAAAGTGAACTTTAACCTTGTCAGCCATCACAGAGAAATCGTTGACGTGGTACGAACATGAACGGGGATTCCCCGGATGTTCTATGTACGCAACATAAACCGTTATGCCTTTGTCATCTACGGGTTGAAAACGAGCTAAACATTCAACACCAAGATTCTCACCCAGACTTGACGCTATAAAGCCAGTGGCGGATCCAGGGGGGGGGGGGGGGGGGGGGGGGGGGGGCCCGGCCCCCCCCCCCCTTGAGAAAAAAATCATGCAAAATCACGTGATTTTTACCTTTTTTGGGGGTTGGGCCCCCCCCCCCCCCTGGCGCTCAAGGGGGGGGGGGTGCAAATTGAAATTTTTTTGAGGATCAAAAAAAAAAAAAAAAATGTGCTCACTACCCCCCCCCCCCCCCCCCCCCACTGAGCGAATTTTTGGCCGGCGCGTTTTTCAAATTTTCGGGAGCAAAAAAAAAAAAAAAAAAAAAATTGTGCCCCCCCCCCCCCCCCCCCCCCCCCCCCCCCCCCCCCCCCCCCCCACTGAGCGACATTTCGGCCGGCGCGATTTTCAAATTTCCGGGAGCAAAATAAAAAAAAAATTTGGGCCCCCTCCCCTAAGAAATCCTGGATCCGCGCCTGTATAAAGCTACAAGTAGAATAAGGCGTTCTTCAGGTCAGGCATTGTTTTCAGGAAAATTCAGACGGACGTATAGCAAACATGGCATCTAGAGACAGACGAGGTTACAACGTAAACATGGCCCCGGTAAACAGCTTGGCATATATTGTTTTGTTTTGTACATCTAGCCGCTCTATGTTCAACGGTAATCATGTTGTATGACGTTACGAAGTTCACGTAACATACAAGAGTTGCCCTTGACAAACATTATTTTCATCGTTGGCATTCACGCGCAGACTTGATAAAGATAGGGCATAATAATTCTAGTAGGCTATTTACATGTAATTACTGCTCTGACCTATTATAACAGCAAATATCCCGTTGACTACTGAATTTTATAGTTCCCATATAGGATTAACACAGGGACCACCAGGTTCCCGTAAGCAAAGGGATATGTGAGTAAGAGAGTGAGACTAGATGACGAATGAGTCATCTGATTTTGGCATATCATCTTTCATCATCATTCATCATCATTCCTCATCATTATTATATACTTTGTTAATATTAATATCAGTAGTAGTAGCAATAATTATATTGACATTGTAGTTTTCATCATCATCATTTGTATTTGTAATATTGATATTGTCATTATTTATGTTATTTGCTATCATTCTTCTTCTTTATATCATTATTATTCTTATCAGTAGTAGTACAGTGTATTAGTAGTAGTGGTGGTAGCAGAAGTTGTTGTATAAATATTGTTATTATTTTTTTTTACCATCATCATTTGTATTTGTATGTTTTGTTATCATTATTTATATTATTATTATCACTCTTCTTATTTTTTCTTATTATTTTCTTCTTCTTACTATTAGTATTATTAATAGCAGTATTATCATCAACATCATCATCATCATTCTTATCAACAACATCATCGTTACTGTTGTTGTTGTTGTTGTTGTTGTTGTTGTTGTGAGGGTATAATATAGTGCTCGGTGAGCGCATATCCTCTCGTTTTCCATTTCTACCTGTTTAAACATGATTGCCTCTATGGTCATATGTTTTAAAGTTGTTTTATTTTCACCTTGTAGCACCGGACTCTACATTATGTATGTATTAGCCAGTAAATAGCCTACAAGCAAATTGTTTATATGAGGCAAATAATGTCCTTTTCATTAAAAAGAATATCACAATTTAAACTGATTAATTGGCATATTTTTAAGGCATATTTTGTATGTTTTATTGCATTATGTGTCTTACATGGCAGTGTTAGTCTTTTCAGTTACATGCTTTTAGATTAAAATAATTGTTATAAGGCCTTCAGACTTGTCTCCATATAAGTGCCCTCAAATTAATTCAAAATCTTTAATGATAGGTAATGGTAAATCATGGCACATCTCAAAATAATTGTTCATCTTGCCTCGATTTGATACTCGATTTTAATACAGATAGTCCAGATATTTTAAATTTCGATACAATATCCTTTTTAATGCTCATGTACTACAGCCACACTGTCCTACTTGTAACTACTTGCTCCCTCTATATAGAAAACAATGCCTAATCGGTGACCATTGGTCCCCCATGATCCTCTTTTTGAGAGCTGAGTTGATGAGATAACTGCCTCTCCACTGACCTTGCAGAGTGGTCTAATCCCTCCAATAAAATATGTGAAAAGGAAATATGTTTAATTTCCTTATTAACCGTGTTTACTATGCTTTCAAACTAGATTGTTTACCTTTCTTTACATATCCATCGGCTTTCAGCTAGAATTTTGTTTATTTGCATTCCCCTTCCTAATTATATTACTTTCACTACTAAAATGCTCCTAGTTTCGGTTTTCATCGTAAATCGACGGAAAATATTATTGGTATATAAATGTACATACACTGTCGCTCTTAAAGGTGGAATATTTTTTTGAACCCCAATTTATGGAATTATTTAAAAAATAATTTAAAAATAGATAATAGTATACATTCTCAGATTGTATAATGAATAATAATTTGCCAATGTGTGTTTTGCGTGACTGCTAAATCATGTGTATGCTACTATGCTCATCAACTAGGGGACCTACGCCCTTAAGTCATAAATGACAGTAATGAGGATTAATGCCCCACAAAAGGGCTCTAATATAGCACATCGACACGGTTTTGATCCTGGGGCCTCACAGTTACGAGTCCATTGCTTTGTCACTGAACCATGACTGTACGCAGGGGGGGGGGGGGGGGGGGGGGGGGGGGGGCTAGGGTAGGGGGCAGTTTCCATAATTTAAATTATAAACAAATCTTCTGTGTGCCCATGCCTTGAGCCATAATGCATGGCCGTCCAGAGGATTTGTTTATGTTGGGAACCGGGGTAAAATGCAATAAATTATTGGAAAATTATCTTATTTTCTTTTTTTAATTTTATCAATGGAAAATGTACGTACGCAATAACGGTCGAATCCATGCGGTATGTCAGGATTATGTAAATTATGACAGTAAGTATCACACGCCAATAGAAATTAATGACAATTTTATGAATGCAACCAACGCCGATTATATTTGTTTATTTCATATTGAATGTAGACGTTAAGAAACGCTTTTTTATACTCTTGATAATTTCCCCTTCTCCATTATTGGTATCACACAGACTCGGTCAAACTCTTATTTAGCTGATTCATTTAATTTCAAGAATTTATCATACGGTTAGAGAAGGCCGTGAAGGAAGAAAAGGTGATGGTGTAGCGGCTGTGGCCTTTCACATTCATGAAAATTTACTCTGATGAGAATTTTAATGCCCTTATTCGTATTCTTAAATAGAATTACCCACAGTATATAACTGTTTTTTAAAATAAATGTAATGCTTCCTGGGAGAAATTTCAATAGTTTGAACATATTTGTGGCTTACACCCAGTAAATAAGATCGATTGATCGATCTGTAATTGAAAAACAAGTCAGAAAAAATCTTGGAACCAGCGGGATTTGAAACTATTGAAATTTCTCCCAGGAAGCATTACATTTATAAAAAAAATGGCTTATGGCGGACTAATGAATATTAACAAGTCAGAATGAATCAGGAGAGCTTGGGTATTTTTTTTTAGTTCATCGTGACTGTGCCATGGACCAGTGATGGCCTGGTGGTAGAGTCGCTTCCCGGCAAGCAGTAGATGGCAGGCAGGGCCGGATCCACGTAGCGATTATTCCGGCCCGGGCCCCCCTAGCCCCCCAAAACGATAAAAAATAGAATAATAACGTAAAGTTAACCTTTATAAAACAAAAAACAAAAGCCCCCCCCCCCGCTAATTCGCCGGCCGACTGAGTCGGCACTTAATTTTGTATTAAGATTTGGCTCCCCCCCCCTTGACGCCGTCTGGATCCTCTGCAGGCGCGAATCCACGGGGGGGGGGGGGGGGGGAGGGGCTGACGGGTCAACAACAAAAAAAGAATTAAAAAAAAACAAAAATTCTAACGAATTAAGTGAAAAAAACAAAAATAGTGGTCTCACACCCCCCCCCCCTTCCGCTTATTCACCGGCTGACTGAGTCGGCGCAAAATATTTCCTGAAAAATTGGACCAAAAAAAAAAGTGCCTCATACCCCCCCCCCCTCCCGCTTATTCACCGTTAACTGAGTCACAACTAATATTTTCTCACGGATTGGCCCCCCCCCCTCTTCCCGCCGGCTGGATCCGCCACTAATGGCAGGTTCAAATCCCGCTGGTTCCAAGATTTTTTCTGACTTGTTTTTCAATTACAGATCCGATCAATCGATCTTATTTTACTGGGTGTAAGCCACAAATATGTTCAAAGTATCTAATTGGTTTAAAAGTAGTAATATTAATAAAACGAACTTCATATACTTTAAACATGCCAATGTAAATGCCTAGATTTTCCTTTTTATATTGTTAATCTACCATTAGAACGAAATAAAAGTTCACATTTTAAAAATACTCTTATTGATGAAAATCATAGCTGGAAGGAACACAAACGACATACAATTACATTTATATCTAGGAATATTGGTAAAATTTATAAGACCCCCCCCCCCCCAAAAAAAAAAAAATCATAAACAGACCATTTTTTATGCTACATGTATATAACTAGCTTATTATATCTTGCCATAAATTACATATTGTAACTTGGTGTGCACTTCGGGTGCAAAGACAAAAATTAACCCTATTCATGTATTGCAAAAAAAGCGCTTCGTTTATGTGGTTATATGGTTTCATATTAGTGTTCACCCTTACCTCTCATCCGTTTTCCACTTAACATACAGCCTTTTTTTTACAATTAGTCCCTTGATCTTTTATACCCTCTCTAATCATGGTTTCTTTATCTCCTCCATCAAGATAATTTTTGTAACAAAAGTCTTTGCAATCTTTGTTCTTATTTTGACATTTAGACGATTAGGCGACCAAGGGTATCTGTCTGTTCTTCTGCCCAAGTTCATAACAACCAAGCCTTCATCGATGAGTTGCATCTGAAATTTACCGAGATCGTTGGCGATGTCCGCTACTTCGAGCTGCCCTACAACGACATTGATCATTTTCTCTTTCGAAACACGGGCATCGATGTCATGATCTTGTGTCACTCCATCCAAAACAGAAGGTTCGCCATCACAGATGTCATGGACGCCCTCTACGACAAATTCTTGTACAATGCAGTCAGAGCTATCGGTTGGTATATTTTATATTAGAGAGGATAGACATCTATTTCTATTAAAAAACCTTCAAAATGTTTTTTTTTCTTTCATGTAAGATGCAAAGACATTCCACATTGATACGAACAATTATATAGTTAATCAAAACGCCTTTTCTGACTTAATATCAACTCACAAAGGTAAATTTGTATTAACTTGAAATCTTTCATAATAGACCAGTTCACGGTTAGCACATTGCTGCAAGGACCCCGAATATCCACATATCTTCAAAACATGAAGAGGTCCCACTTTGTAATGATTTTGAAATAGTCACTCCTACAGCGATGAAGGTGCTACATAAATAGCCTTTGTTTCCCCTTTTCAAAGAATACTTCCACCTGTGTATAATGGAGTACACTGCTTGTGCATGAATGAATAATGATTACATAACTTTCATGAGCACGTATCCAGTATTTCGTCTCCGTGTATTTCACAATCTTTTCTGCAATGACCTCTGCTCATGCTCAGACTGCAACCGTGAACTGGCTTTCAATTTACCAAATGATAGTAGAAAACATAACGAATAATGTCGCAAGTATTTTCTATATTTAAGCGTTGACTATGATCATATTAACGAAAACTTGACATTTTCCTCCCAACATTATACAACCACTGTATTAAAAATGACTCATGATAATCCAAATAATTGGAAAATAATCTTCAATTTTTGTATATATTTTTATAAAAATGATATTAAATCAAATTTGTTGTTATCCTTATTATTGTTTTTTTTTTTAGGGGGAGGGGGGCAGTGGTGTATCTAGTGCAGTGATTATAGCGCCCGGGGCAAGCAATGAAATAAAGTAATAAATAAAACGTCTACTAAAGTAATTAATGTCGATATTTTGCTGATCTATGTCTACAGGTAAACCAAAGATATGCATTTTGGTCCACGATTTCAAAGCGGAGGATCTAAACACCGTCAAAAAGTACCGAACTCGGATTGAGGCTTTCCAGTCGCAGCAGCCGACAACCTTCAAATGCGCTAACTTAGTGATGATGGGCGGGAAGCTAGATGAGAGGGTGGAGATAGGTGATCACCAGTGGGAGGAGCTTCGGGCATTTCTGATAGATGCTGGCCAATCACCAGAATCTATCCCATCCTATCAGGAATGTGCATTTAATTGCATTGATACTGTCAATGTCACGTGCCAGAGTGTACAGAAGTCATATAAAAAACAACTACTGCTTGTGCTTGTCATCTTGGCGGGTGGCTTGATTATAGTGTTACTTGTAGTGCTCACCAAATAAAGGAAATGATGTGATGTCTCATTGGTAAATCAAAGTGTCACAGGAGTTTGAAGGCGAAGAATCGATGCGATAAAACATTTCTTTACAGTTTAGTTGTGAGGACACTGATTCTGAATGATGCAGAAACCTCACGATGACGCACTCGGGGCGATCTTTTTTTTCTGTAAGGACTTACGCCACCGACGCGAGAGGGCAGTTTTTACCATAACCCATTTAAAAAAAATTATATAGCTCTATGCCATAACAATATGCCATAATAATTCATAAGTCTCGACGCGACCGCTCGACCCGGCGTCAAAGAAGAGGCTGGCATGGCGCCTATGCATACGTATAGCGTGCATGCATATTGTGATATCAAATCAACGAGTTTGCATATCATTCTTAATAACCCTTTTTATCCGTTACGTTTGTTATTTGGCATTCTGATTTTTTTTTGCTCTAATACTCTAACATTTTTCTCTTTGTTGTTCATACGAACAAATGTTGAAGTGACTGCCATTTAGTAACAATTTTGTTATACATACCAGATATAGAATGCATATAAAATAAAATGTACATCCAGATCACCGCCCCCAAGCTTCCCCATGGAAGTAAAAAATAAATTAAATGTATATATAATGGGATAAAAAGGAAGATACATGAATAAGGATTACCATGAAGAGACCCATTGTAAATTTTTCTGTGATAAGATTTAATCAAGTTACGTTTAAATATCCAACAAAATAACTGTGTCTACTAGACATCCTCATAAGCATTATGAATTGCTTCTATTCTCTAATACACTTCACCCATCACATGCAGAGAGGCAACTCCATACATTTATTGCAAGCTAATAACAACGATTAGAACATAATTATATAATATATATATATGTAATGAATGATTCGATGGCTAGAACACATGAATACTTCATAAATCTCGGCTGCATTATTATTAACAGCGTGTGCCAAGCAGCCGAGAGTATGAATTGTTCATATTTTATAGCCACATGTTATAGCGATGAACACCCTATCTCGTCGATGTCTGCTTGAAGAAAATAAAATGGCGACCCGCGGGGAGGGGGGGGGGGGATTCTTTGATATTTACATTATTAGGATCATGATTGTCGTATTAAAGCGGAATTGAAAAGTAGGCATGGGATTGAATGGGATGGTATACACATTTTCCATCTTTTCAAGCCTTACAAACCATAAAATATCACAAATATTTCTATAAAGTAGACTTTTTAAGCATGGACATGAAAGAAAATGTAAATGTTGACCCTAAAATAAATCTCCTGCGGATGCATAAGCCACTTATGATAATGGAAATCAAAGATAACACAACATTACATGTTAAAAACTCTCGATGTGACTAAAAAGTCAGAGCTCTCTGATTATGAGGTTTAATGATAAACTAGATTTCATTCTTAGGCCTTAAACAAGTACCATTTACAGGTCATCATTATGACGATGGTGATGATGATGATATTAATAATCGTTATAATAGCGGGCATATTTACCACACACATGGCTTTTTAAAGTTCTCCAATAAAATACCAGTTACCCTAAGCCGTGCCAGGTGTCCACTTATTGCACCTGGGCCGAGAGTTTCAAAAGTAGTAACAAGATCACAAGGACTTATGACAAATCAAATGAAGGGTATATTCTCTACCCTCTTAAATTGCCTATCGGTATCATGTTCTCATTATGTATTATGTAATTGTACTTTTCGAAAGGTCAATCATTTCAAAATGTGACGCATAAGGTAATTTAAATCGCCCAAGGCTGTATGTCGCTATCGAAAATCATTTAGAGCTTAATAGTAATAAAAAGTACATTCTTATATATAGAGCGTTAAACTCATTAAGTCTCTTTGCGCTTTACATAGTAGTGTAGTTATATGTCTTGTCAAAGGATTCAAACTCATGATCTTATGAATCCATCGAAGTGCAATACAATTATAATTCTGTTAAAACGAAAGCCTTAGATATTTTGTGTGGAAAAGTCGGAGTGATACGTATGATATCGCATTTCTAATTACGTAATGCTTGTACAGTTGTTTTTTAGCAGATGATTTCTGCATTTATTGAAAATATAATTTAAAAAAATTCCAACGACAATAATAATATAAAAGTATAATTGATTGACATAAAATGTGACAACTAAAAATCAAAGAATCAAGATAAATGCAGAGTCGATATCAGTTAGAGGTGGGTGAGGGTGCACATGATGCGAGTAGGTAGAAAAATGGAGTGTCACGTCTAAATAATTGCGTTTTTTCTTCAAAAAGTATATTAATAAATAGTCGGAAGAAAGACAACAAAAGAAAAAGAAAACTACAAGTGTGTGCCTGTTGGTGTGTACAGGTGAAGTGTTCGATTAGTTTTGTTCATGAACTGATCATCTTAAATTAATTATATTAAAACAAAATAGTATAAAATTGTTGAGATCCATATGATTTTTATGAATATTTGGATATTAGATACTTTTTCATCGAGGCTTTGAATGAATGAAGAGATGCAAAGTGTTAATGTTGTCAGGTAAATCATCCAAAAATCCGGACCATGGCGTCTTATCCCTCTTTAGGCCAGAATATTTTTTGTGTCATTTAAATAGAGGTTGCCGGATGAATGTCGTGTAGGATAAGAATGTAGGTTTAATTGTACACAAACATATTTCGCAATGCTGATGGTATAGTATTTATCGAAGATTATACATAAAGATTGAAGTTTAAAATATTTAAAATATGAGCAAATTTTAATGTTTTTAAATCATAAAATATTGGATCAGTATGGGCTATATAATGTGAATGTATATCAAACAATACAGATTGCTTCTCTTTTCAGCTTCGTTCTTTGTCTTTAAGAGGGTATGTAATTGAATTAGGCTGGTATTACATACCATTGTGTAACAACATGTTATGAATGGAATTAGATTCAAGTTTTAGAAACCTATTCATGTGCTGTCATTTTTTGATTTGATGACTGTGGATGAAGTAATATAGCTACTGCTTCTCAATACAATGAGTAACTAATAAATGTATGTTTATAGTATAATACAATATTGTTATCGTGAAAATAATTCATCGCAGTGCAAATATACTCAATATATATTTCGCCTGTTTACATGATTCTTATTTTAATACATAAAATATGAAAAGTTGAAAACTATTGTTTAATATATGTCGTGTCCCCATTCTGAGAGTTTCATCGTGTAAGTATCTTGGCGTAATTCTAGACGAGAATCTAAGTTGGAACCTACATATCAACGAAATAAGAAGAAAAGTTTTGTTTAAATTGTATATGTTAAGGAGAATTCGTCCGATTATTACACAACGCCAAGCGGAATTGTTTTATAAATCCATGATACAATGTCATTTTGATTACTGTGATATAGTCTATGCAAATACAGGGGTTACGAACTTAAGAAAACTTCAAACTTTACAAATTAAAGCGCTAAAAACTGTTTTAAGGAAAGACCCAAGATTCCCAACAGATTAGTTGTTCATACTTTTTAAGTTAGATAACATTTTAGAAAGATTTAAAAAAAGGACATTAATAGTTATGCACCAAATATTTTATAATAATCCACCAAAACCTATTTTACATTTCTTTGAAAAGCACAACCCTGTGTATAATACCCGACACTCTTTTCATAACTTTGCATTACCTAAAGGCCAAACGAATTATAAAATAAGGAGTTTAAGTTATAAAGGAGCGAAATGCTGGAACACAATTTTACAGGAACTGAAATCCATAGAGAATAAAAATGTTTTTAGAAAACAGATCATGTCACCACCTAGGTAGGGGGGGGGTGGGGGGCTGACCCTTGGTAGGAGAGTCAATCAGACTCTCGGTTTACAATACACTTCTCTGTTAATTATTTACTTTTTATTCATTATTGTTAATTTTTATTTTGTACATTATAATAATTCATGTTTTCTTTGTTTATTTTTTGTTGTTGTTTTGTTTCGATTATTTTGCATATTTTTATGTTTTGTTGTCTTTGTTACTGGAATTCGTTTTGTGATATAATTTGTATATTTTTTATTCAGTCACGGACTTTCTGAAAATCAACCGATAGGCTGAGAGAGTGACCGTGCTTAAATAAATAAATGAAATGAAATGAAATGAAATGTCGTTATCTTATAAAACGAAGAATATAGCTTATTTATTCTGCTTTTAGTATAATCTCATTCTTATCACTTTCTCCACCCTTTCCCCCTTCTCCCCTTCTCTCTGTCTATCCGTCTGCCAGTCTCTTTTTCTCTATCATGCGCGCTCTCTCTTTCTCTCCCCTTTCTCTCCCACTCTATCATGCTCTCTCTCTTTCCCGTCCCTCTCTCGCTTTCTTTCTCTCTCTCGCTAACTCACCCATACCTACGCTAACTCACCCATACCATTCTCTTAAAAGTCTTTGTATGTTCATGCCTTCTTCATGCATGCATGTTTCATGCTTTATTTGATGAAAATAGTAAAAGTTCATTTTTATTATTTAGATGTGAATGTAAAATCATATTCTATATAATAATATTATCATGCAGATTATTTTATGTATTGATTTTGTTACTGTTTGTGAAAAGCAATGGAGAAAATAAAATATCATTGAAAAAAAAAATACCCTCTCGTCCTTACTTCCCCTCTCCCTTTCTCTCACTCTTTCTTTCTCTCCCCTCTCATTTTTTTTTTATCTCTCTCCTTCTTTTTCTCCCCTCCCATTTTCTCTCTCTCTCTCTCCCTCTCTTTCTTTACCCACTTCCCTCTCTTTCAATTCTGTACACCCGGGTTTATAATTCCCTAACCACTTTCGTTAATTCCTTGCAACTGGTAACATCTTGGAATTTTTATTCATACGGTGGTTTGAGAAATCGTAATAAATTCGTTCGTTCATTCAATCATACATTCGTCCATTCTTTCGTCCGTTCGTTCGTTCATTCATTATAAAAATCTATTTTGAGAAACAAGAAGCCCATGGTCTATACACTTCATTTTAATTTCATGATATTTCACACAGATTTTCCACAAAACATACACTTAATCTCTAATTAATTTCAATTCCCATCACCACTGTGATAAAATAACTATATTGATATAATATATTTAATGATATAATATAATTTAACCACCATACCAAACTGTTTATACTACTATTGCATAATTCAATGTAAATAAACAAAATATAAATTCATAAATTTAAATATATCATCACTCTGCATGCATATGGGCAGATATAATCATGATTATATTCAACCACAGTTTCTATTTCGAATGATATCAAAACGTTTTTTTATATCTCCTATAATAACATGTGTACATAATTATTTGCATTATAGTGATATAAACATATCGACTGAGTCTGATCTTTATTTCCATAACACTGGAGCATCTATATTTTACGTAATATTTTATTATTGTTATTACGACGACCCCATCTCATATTCAGATAATAATTGAACTCTTAATAACATGTGCTATGGAGCGAAATGCGAGGGAGTATACAGAGTGTGGTGCGATTATTGCCCGCGCGGGAGACCTGAGAAAGAGTCTGGTCATCGTTTCCTCGTGATCTTCTCAATTTATCTATCTTTCTACCACGTCTTTCTATACTATTTTTGTCTGCCTTTCTATAAAGGAGGGATTAATTGTCTCCCGTACACCCTTCCCCTTCCTTGCGAGGCATAAAGGGGCCGGGAAAGAGGTCATGCAACATGAAAGGGGCACGTGTTACAGATTAGTTTGCTTGCTTTCTACTCATTTAGAGCAGAAAGTGGGAGAAATGGGGTGTTGGTAACCAGCACAGTGCGTTATTTCCCATCAAAATAAATAAAATAAAATGTACAGGTATGTTGCAATGAAAAGCAAATAAAGAAGTAACAGAATTAAATCTGAATACAAACGTTTCTGAAACTGCGTGAAAATGTTAATGTGTTTTTTTCCAATTTTGAATGAATAACTGAAAGTAACCGAAAACACAAGATTGTAATACATTATTGACAAATAATAATAATAATAATAGGCATTTCTATAGCACAGTCTATAGAGAAATTATTTGCCGTGGTGCATTTAATATTACCCCGGCTTAGCCTAGCTGCCATTACAGCGCTCTAGCATTTCAAGGATTAATTCCTGCCAGGTACCCATTTACCTCATTTGGGTCCCTCTACAAAGTAAATCACGCGATTCGTTTGTTTTTTGTACAAACTCAAACATAGACATCTGACCCGGCAAGAGATTCTAAGAAAAGAAATGTTAGTACTCTATTTTATCGAACATGTTAGGTTCGATAACGTGGATAACCGATCCGACAATAAAATTACTCCCAGTGACCAACACCTGAAGATGGTCAGCTGCTTGCAAGAACCCTTCACCATCGGGCATGTCCATCGATTCCCTATCATCAAGACACATACGAGAGCCTAACACCCATTGAAGTGCTTCTGTAGCGGAAGGCGATACTTTAAAGATTGGCGCTTGTATGACGTCACGTTGATCTTGGAATGAGTTGCACATCTCACCTTGGAGCTTCTTAAAGGTTGCCAGATGCTGGTGACATTTCATCAGCTGATCATCTAACGACGGCATACTTTTGTAATCTGAATAATTTTGAGAATGAAAACCTAAATTATTATGAGAGGAAACTTTGGTCAATCACATGGCAGATTGTAGAAAATATGCATGGTTTTTAAACTGAAATTTTATACTAAAATTATGTAATGGTATTCCATCATAAATTATGTAATGGTATTCCATTATAAATTATGTAATGGTATTACATTATAAATTATGTAATGGTATTCCATTATAAATTATGTAATGGTATTCCATTATAAATTATGTAATGGTATTCCATTATAAACTATGTAATGGTATTCCATCATAAATTATGTAATGGTATTCCATTATAAATTATGTAATGGTATTCCATTATAAACTATGTAATGGTATTCCATCATAAATTATGTAATGGTATTCCATTATAAATTATGTAATGGTATTCCATTATAAATTATGTAATGGTATTCCATCATAAATTATGTAATGGTATTCCATCATAAATTATGTAATGGTATTCCATCATAAATTATGTAATGGTATTCCATTATAAATTATGTAATGGTATTCCATTATAAATTATGTCATGGTAGTCTATTATAAATTATGTCATGGTAGTCCATTATAAATTATGTAATGGTAGTCCATGTAATGGTATTCCATTATAAATTATGAGATGAAATAGCCCTGCACAGTTATTCATTTGACGTGATTTGAGCTTTCCTCTAATTTTCTGCGGTACTTAATTTTTTTATTTTAATAAAAAAAAAAAAAAAACTGTAGCACGAACTGGTGCTCGGGTACCATATGTTATTTTATTTATTCTAATGGCTTGTCCACCTAACAAACACGGAATGTATGCAATTCGTATTCTGACTATCGAAATACAGTGATTGAAATGATAGGTAACGAGGCACTAATCAAGATTAGTCCATTCAATTTGATTACATTACGAACAATGCCTATCGGGTTTTTTTATGTGTATTTGATCATGTTGTCTTCTAATCATTGATATATCCAAATAAAATGCGCCTTTGTGTTATGAGGTTAAATGGGATGTATCCACCCCGGTCTTCTTTTGATTTAAATTCAAAGTTTGGATAGCCTTCAAGTATGAGAATTTAATTTAATAAAGTGTTAAATTCAGCTACAACCAAGTGACTTACCTCTCACTTCATTTTCTTGAGTTACTACGGTTCGCATGACCGAGAACACAACAGCGTCGAATCCGTATTCCTGACGAAGAAAATAGATCGGATAATTTCTTCAGCATGAAAGAGGTAATAACGGCCAATTCAAGTAATATCTCTTTATTGAAAACCATTAAAGATATAAAGAATGGGAGTTTACTAATGGGACTTTACTTATCTGAAAACAAACATGACGGAGTTGTCAATGGCAAATGTGCATGTATTAAATGTAATTTACGTCACACACAGTTTTATTCTTATTTTCACAAAAAAAATATTTAAAACATCCTTTTTTTCCCATTGCATCTTTGCATCACGATGTTTTTCCCCTATTTCGTTTTTATTATAATTATATCTATTTACGTTGATTACAAAGCGGTATTAAATATGTTATTTTGTTTGGATTTTCTCTTTTTTCTTTTTTTTTCTTTATCACGCATTAGGAAATGTATCAGGAAATCCCTCCTAGAACCTTCTTTTGAAATATAAGGTTATTAGGCGAACAGTAATGAACAGAAGACACCATTACAATTTTCTGAGCCCATTTATAACATTGCAACTACGAATACTTACCACAAGAGGTCGTAGTATCGTGTAACCGTCTCTATCCCCGCCTAGATTGAAGATGAGAACTTTTTTGATGACTCCTGGGATCATCTTGGCCTCATTCGATGCCTCTTCTTCAAACCAATTCTTACAGAAGGCCACGCTGTCTTCGGTATGTGCATTATCGATGTAGTAAGTGACGCCGGTTTTCCGGATTGTTTGGTTACGTCCTGGCCACTTCGATAACTCGAATCCTGAGAGCAATATTCAAAGTATGAGAAATTATGTAGATCACAAAAAGTCAATGATTTATCTGCCTAAAATAAAAACGTAGCATTTTCATGTGCTGTAAATACAGCATTTGATATATCGTAATCATGTGTAATTCTTGCGATATCTGTCTAGGGAGCTGTGCATGGTAACACCTTTTGAACAACATTTTTATGATATTCTGTTTTCCTTGTCGAAAAATGTCGCACACTTTTAGATGTACCAAATTACCTGAAGATGTCTGTAAACAAGAGAGTCTTTCTAGATCTTTTAAGTATGTACTCCTCAACCCATACACTGCGTGTGTATGTTTTGGGTATAATTTGATTTGTTTCTGTTGTAATTCTATTCTTTATTTGAGTAACTACAGTATACCGTGAAATTAAAATCAGTGCCATTGCTCTCCATGTACTATGATTAACTTTCCTATGGACTTTATTATCCTACTTATTTTTGCTATTTGCTATTTGCAAGGGGGCATCATGAGCCGGAGGCATTATGAGCGTGAATTACCTCGTAAGAATTCGTCTGGCAGAAAGAATGGCGTCGCTCTCTGAACTTTCCCATCGCCGAGTTTATCGCCAATTGACGAGTTGCCGCTGATATCTCCATTATGTGGTCCGATAGCTGTACAAATATATACAAATATAATGTATGAAAACAATGCGTACTATATTTCTTCCATTTCCAATACAAATGTGGCCACAGTACTTCTACCATAGCACAACATAACTAATATTCAAAAGGATGTATGTGTCAAATGTAGATTTATAATTTTGTCTTTAGAAATATATGAATGATAACACAACTTTTTCCCCTAACCCTAGTATATATATTTTTAAAATAATTATGTCTATTCCTTTGAATGCATTGTTATGTATGTAGGGCTATATAAATATATACGTTTTTAAGTATTTATGTACGTAACGTGTTTTTCTTCTTTTCTTTAGTATGCCTAGTACGAGGCTCGTATAGACTACATGTAATTGCTATGAAATATTGTCATGTCGTCTCTGAAGAAAAAAAAAGGTTAATGACGAGTATCTGTCCTGAACATTACCTTGGAATTGGATTCTCCCTGGAGCTTTCTCATCAAGCCATGTTTTAGTGAGTTGAACGGCCAAAGCTGCGTTACTGCGTTGATGTTTTCCAGCAAGACCTAACTTGACACTGACGCCATTGCATTCGTAGTCGCCTAAAGGAGGACAAACTCGTAAAGGTGCCTAAATGGAAGGAAGGAATTGTCATGGAAGGAGTTGTCATTGGACTTATTGTGTTGGGCTTATGCAAGACACGAAAATGATTGCCAAATATTGCACAATGTACCTGTATGTAATAATTTATGTCGCCAATACTCATGAACTCTTATCATATAATGAATCCATTCTTAAAACTGAGCGCTCGACAGCAATATTTGAAGTAATAATGACGAAATACAATTAAAGAATGAAAAATATCGAAAGTTCAAGAGAACTGTCCTTATAAACAAATTTATTCCGTAATAGATTTTAGCTTACTAGTGACTAAAGTCACTGACGACACTCACAACAGTCATTAAAATTAAACTAAAACATATCCATCATGCGTTATCAACTGACTACTTGCAGTTCTGCAAGTCCTTCAGAATATTTAAAAATCATAACGCCTTGGGTCTTCATGGCAAATATACAGAGACTTCAACTTTGGGACTTACTATATGGCATTGGTGAACTTTGACAGTGCTTAAAACTTAAAGAAAACGATTAAATTCCATAGTATTGTATAATTGTTACTTCATTACTAGTACCTTATACATGATTTCACATTACTGGACATATGATTAAAATGATTAGATAAACGGTAACTAGAATATATTCTATACTTGTCAGCTAATACGTTTCACATTTCTTGATAATTTGGCGCTGATGTTCATTTTGTATACTATTGAGGTCATGTGACTTACGTTTCGTTCCTCTGCCCGTTGTACAAGCACATTCATCGCTTCGTCTCGCTGTGGCACTGTAAAAGCAGGTCGACCATTCTGAAAAAATAGTTTATGTGAACCAAGATGAAGTTTAAAGACATCTCTACTGTTTTGTCTGAATCTTGCATCACGCATCACGCAATATCTCTCTCTATTAATTTGTATTCATCTTTATCTTGCTGCTTCTTCTTTATTCCAATTCATGAATTAAACCCTAGCTATCCTTGACTCACTTTTTCTTATAATATATTTATGGCAACCAGAGTGTTTGTGGGCCCATTGTTTGCTTTTTTAAAATATTACGATTATTGCGTATTGCAACATGGCTAGCTTATAGGAAATATCGCAGATTATATACCTCATACATTGATTCTTATCCACTGATTGGTCAAAACTTTATCACGTGACTGCAGTACCTGTATAGATTAAATTTCTGTATGTTGGAGTTCTGTTAGTGTTGGATATTTGAAACTTTTGAACTTCGAAAGACTGTAAATGACTCTTGATGTTGGATTTCTTTTCTAGACTTATTCATGAATCGATACAAAGGATGAGGTATATAAAACAAATATGGACTGCCCTGTAATCGGATGGTGGTGCAACATCTTCCTCATGAGCTATCAATATTTGTATAATATTACTTTCGAAAATTGAAACGCGAAGGAAGGAGTTTCATTGATATGTATAGATTTACCTTGAATATGCCTGATTTATGCCAGGCGATTTTAGCCAGTGTGTCGCCGAGTAGTGAGACATGTTCCATGGCTAAAGACGAAACACCAGTCACAGTTGGAGACCTATTAAAATGTACCAACAATACAACGTTTAATTACACAATCTGAGTTCTGAACATGATTTCTGTGGGATAAACAAAAGGTATTGCAATCGCCCACAGGAGTTGTTTTCTCGAAGGTTTTTGCGATCGTCATGTTAGTATTATTTTATACATACCAAAGAACGTTAGTTGAGTCATATTCGCCTCCCAGTCCTACTTCCACAACAGCGACATCTACCTATGAACGACAAGTTAGTAGTAAAACTGTCATAACCTGTACAATTTCCTTTTTTGCGTGATCAAACATTGATATGCTATTATCGAAATAATTAAGATATTTCATCAGACTTTTTTATTTAAATGACAATAGATGTTTTCCATTTACAGAACGATATTATCGTTGATTCTACCACGTTCCACTTCTTTCCCGACGTTCAACAGGCCACTTCAGACCCCGATATTGTTTTTGCAATGCAACATTCACTAGAGCAATAATGCATTCCATAATTAAACTCATATCATTCATAACAATAAAAACATGAAACAGAGAGTGACTTTGTGGATATTAATTTTGACAGCGGTCTCACCTTTTCTTTGACAAGAATGTAGTAAGCAACGAGTGTGAATATCGGAAATGGACCTATACCGCTCGAGATTGTTTGACCAAATTTCGTTTTGTTCTTCTCTAGCAGTTCAAGACATTCTACTCCATATCTTCCAAACAAGGCTCTGGAAACTGGTACCCCATTGATACGGACTCGCTCACGAACCTCTAATAGAGGGGGTGAACTGGAAGGACAGAGATGAACATACAAAATGCTTTTTTGATATTGGTTTTTATTTTGAGAAGATGCAAAATACGAAACAGTAAGTAAAAACCAAGAAGAATCTTGCCTGGAATGGTAATGGTTGATTAAACACATGTGGTACTTGATACAAGTGACTTTGTTCAACAAATCGATATACATTGCTATGGAAACAAATTCTCAAATACATTTATACCCTTCAGTCGCCCCGCTCCCTCGCAACAGAAGTCCCAAGTCCCCCCTCCCCCAGCCCCTCATTTTGTTAATTTCTAGAATCACTCGTGCCCTGGACTAAAAGTTAAACGAAATTGAGCTAAAAGTACGTGTCGAATCACAGTCATAACACGTAACAAGTATAAAGTGCGTCCCAGAAGCGAAACCGAGAATTATCGATGTGTTATCAGAACTTAATCCCAATTATAATTAATAAATGACACTTATTAGTAAAGCTTAAATCCTTCTCTTTCAGTTGATGCAACTCATATGATGCATATTTCACGCATGAGTGATTAAAAACAATTTGAAGAGAGTGTACCAAATAATGATTTTAGGGCGGTATCTGAATTTCAAAGAGAAAAATCACATTTCTATAAATTTCATTTTCTGCCCTTTCATATTTATTTATTTATTTATTTATTCATTCAAGTTTTATTTAAAATAGAGGGTAGGTACATTCAGTTTAACAAAACTACTTTCCAAGTACGCCCTCTAACGACATAACAAGTTTGTTATATACAAAAATACAAGGAATATATTTAAAAAAATTATAACATTCATCAAACTAAACATTGACATATTTGACATAATATAGAGTACAAACATATATAACATAATAAAAATAATTATACCGTTAGAGGGAAATAAGAACGGAGACTCTACTATAGTAAATCCTTTGCCAATTGGCATCCGCGCTTAAATATTTGAATTGATTTGGTTGATTGAATTGAGGGAGGAAGTTTATTAAATAGGGTGCTTGCTTTATACGAGAATGATCTTTTTTTGGGACACACCAAGCAGGAAAAATGGGCCAGGAGTAACGAAGTTCTGTTTGTTTAAAGTAATGCTTGCATTTCCATAATCTGATTAAACGAAATTCGTTATCACTGGCTGCCTGCCGTAGCAACTAACGGGGTTGACAAAAGACTTAACTCAGTTTCGTTGACGATCAGTCATGCACAAAGAAGGCGAAAGACTTGATGCATGGCTGATCGTCAACGAAAGGGAGTCAAGTCTTTTGTCAACTCTGTTTGTTGCTACGACGGCAGACGCAAGGTAGCCGCCAGGTGACCGCGAGGCGGCCGAAGGGGGACCATACGGCGACCGTGCGGCAAGACTGATGCTACCGCTTCACCCCTGGAGTATTTAAAAACGCAAGGCTACCGTACGCCCGACGTATGGTCGCCGTGGAACCGCTCTACAGCATGGTTACGGCGTGTCTAATCGCTAAGGCAAAAGGAGAAATGAAAACAGCAATTAGGCAATTAGACACACCGTAGGCATGTAGTAGAGCGGTTCCACGGCGACCATACGTCGGGCGTACGGTGGCCTCGTGGCTACCTTGCGCCTGCCTTGGTATTTGTCAAACACCTACGGCCGCCGCGGGGACGGCTTAAGGCGACCGTGCGTCATCACTTCAAAGGCCGTACGGCAGCCGCAGATTTTCTGTGTTCACAGATTCAAAATACGCCGTACGGCTACCCTAACGTTTGTGACTGCTGCAGTAATATGTGAACGTGGGAATGCTGCGGCGGCCCTATAATTGCTATCGGCCGTAGATCTTTTAGACCCCACGACCGCCGCGGCAAATGTGACCTAGGCATTAACTTTATAACTTATTTTTTCACTACATCTGTCAGTCTAATGACTCTGAAGCTTAATATATACCTTATGATGCCTGTCTTGTAGCCGTATGTCCTTAATATCCTTTCTGTCATAGAATATGTCGATCCCTTTCCCTTAGTACCCGCCACATGGATGCACGATAAAGGGTCCAAATCTTTTCTCTAAATAAAACATAGATAAGTGAATGTATTATTTATCACACGTTGTTTCTTAAAGAAACGGTGTTTAAAGGAGCATTTAACTCTTTAGATCATTGGTAATATGAAAAAATTATATCAAAACAAAGTTTGGGCAAGTGCTGCAAAATATGTACTCGGAGTAAGTTTTCTGATGCTTTTCCTATAATTCCTTTCAAAACAATGCTCTTAATATGTAATTTTATTTTCACTTTTTGACAACAGGCTAATTTTGTTGTTGTATTATACAACATTGGAAATTACACAATCGATTTTTTTTTTAAAGAGCATATAACACGATTGCAACTACTTTTGAAAAATCAACCTACGGTAATTCCAATGGCCTTTTGCGTCTCCTATTGAAACGTTCGAATTTGTTTATGACGTATGACGTAATCCGAACTTGATGTCCATGGGGCCTACATGAGTGTATTAAAACTGCTGTTGAGTTGATTTTTCGAAAATAGTTGATCAAACATTTTTTATTTGATTAGACCATGGCATTTCTGTGTCACGGTAGGCATCTCATGCTTCATCCTGAATTACAGGAACCAATATTCGATTATTACCATTATTATTGTAATCATACTTTATTCCAAACAATGTGAAAGTTTACCGTAATTCCAAGCCTTTCTAAGAAGATTCTGAAATCTGATACCAGGAATTTTTTGAATTTCTCTTCATCTGGACAATACCCCTGCCTTTCGTATGTTAGCTCTGCATGCTTCCGAAGAAATAGCTGCAAGAATACAACACAAACGAGAAATGATTATGCACTGATAAGAACGATTGACGACTTCACATATACGATGAACTAAATGGTCATTGTTATTATTGCCCATGCACATTCATCGAAACGTAAATTAAGTATAGATTTAAGTGTTATTTGGCATTTCCGATGGTTCATAATTCCGACGGTCAGTTATTCCAAAGTTTCGGATCTGTGAATGTTAATTTTAAGAATGATTTAAATTTTTGTTTAAAACTTTACATTAAAGAGCGCTTTTTGTCACACATGCAAATCAAAGTCTGATCTTAAGACCAAATTCCTTCTGTTTCAAACATCGTTTAAATAAAATGTTCTTGTCCAGTTTCTAAATGTAGAGGGACGACCTTCTTGCTATTTCCAGAGAGGGGTGCCCGTTTCCCCTTGAGTAGCTTCAGATAGTAGGTTCATTGATTTAAAATACTAACTTTAATGTCATTATTGCAAAGGTGACACTTTGATTGGCCAAGGTTATAGTAATGATTATTAAAAATTACAAAACGCTTAGATACAGCCTCGACATAGCACCTGCAAAGCTCCCCGGTCGCTGCTGAGATATGACGTCACATGTTGAACATGATGTGCACAAGCAGACGATGTCCCATGACATCTCACACAATTTCAGTGCCCGTTTAGTCATCTTTTCTTCAGTTATTTCTCTTACTTCAATGACCTCAGGCGAAATTTGTAATCTATTGCCTCACTTTAAACCCCGTGCATGGTTTTATTCTAATGAAAAATGCTAGGTTTAAAAAAAAAAAGGAACCCGTCGCTTGTTAACAAAATAAAACGCCATTGTATTTTCAGCTGCATACAGGCATGTTGGGCGTTTCAAGAGGGAAGAAGTGACGTCCATGCTATCATTCCGGAGGTTTTTTAATTTGAAAGTGTGGTTTCTTTGAGTGTTCATTAACCCCTATCCTGTATATTTACAAACAAAAGAATTTAGTTATCAGAATTGGGGTCATATCCCTTTTTGAATGGTGTAAAATGCCATCACATTTATATACACTAAACTCATTATAATTTGAGAAATAAAAGAATTGCAATTGTGTTCATTCTCTATGGGATGTCGTCTGCTTGGGCAGGGTTGGTTCATATTGTGACGGCATTAAAACATCGTTATTTTCCCGGCGAATCTCTCGCATATTCCAGATGCTACGGAGGTTGTTTTATTTGTATTTTTTATAAATCACCGATATGTAGTTGACCAAAAACTTGCATGATGGCCATCTGTTAGCCTACCAGTTTCTAGTATTACGCTATTTGCCATATTTGTGATTTTCTATGAACCCGCACTTTAACGCAATTTGAAGTCCTATTCTATCACGGTACTAACGGTTTATGTACTAAGGATAATGTCATATAACGTAGCGATACAAATAACAGATTACAGAACATAATATTGCAGTTTTTCTTTCTTTCCAAATTGTAATAAATTATAATAATGATTATTACTTCCAACGACGATGCCACTACTACAACTACTACTGCTACTCCTACTACTAATGATGATGATGATGACGATAATGATCACAATTATGATAATAATAATAATTTAAAGAATAATGATAATGAAGATAGTACATATTATGATAATATCAATAATATTTCTGGTAAGGAATCCAAATGGGTATTCCATATTCAATTGAGATCAATTACCTTTCCTAGTGATATGTAAGAATGTTAATATAAAGCAATCAATGTACGCAGAGTGCTTAGGCGACCCATCTTTTGTCTTCACTTGACACAATTTTTATCTTTAAATATAATTTTAAGCCCCGTCCTATTTCATTTCATTTTCATTTTTTTTCAACACGGAATACTTGCTATAGCCAACGGCTGTTCTTCTGCAATATATAACAAAAAATAAATAAATCACATGCACAATATATACAATTCAAAATAAGACGCAATACAAATTACACAATTACAACAGTAAAAAGAGCGGATTTAAAATCAATTGAATAAAATACAATGGAAATAAATGTAATGAGTGTGATAAATAACATAATATAATAATTGATAAATGCAAATATGAAATAAATAAAATAAAGTCAGAGCCAAGTTAAAATTAGGAATTGGAAGTTAAAAATTGAAAATTGATATATATTTAAAACAATAAACCTCATGACGCAATACAAGCGAATTAACAAACTGGCAAACATTGATTATGACTATAATAGATAGATAGACATAGATAGATATACAGAGAGAGAGAGAGGGAGAGAAAAAGATGGAGAAAAGGAGCCCATACAATACTATCTCACTCTGTCTTATTTGAATCTGTAAAAGCTCAAAGCTTTTACATCATTAGGGAATTCATTTCCTCGTTTTGCTCCTCGGTATTATGGATTTCTCTTTTAAAGTTAGTTTTAACCGGTGGTAGTTTGATTTTAAAATATGAATGTCTTAAAACATATTTACTCTTAAAAATAGAAATGTACTCTCTAGTATCAATCATGTGCAAGGGGCGATAGCTCAGTCGGTAGAGCAGTGGTCTCGTAAACCAGTGACTCGCATTCGAAACCAAGTCGATGCGCTAGTTTGTTAAGGTAATGCATTAATCCTCATTACGGTAAAATAACCACCATCATTCAATTAGTCGATTATTTTTCAATTATTCAATTATTGCTGGTCTATACTAAAAGCATATCTGCCCGCACTCAGACCATTTTTATAAATAATTAAATACCATGTCTATATTTTGCTATGCTTACGGCCTATACCTATTTTTACTTTGCTTGCGTTCCAACGTAAGTTTTCCGTATCTAGGGTCGCGATCGAGTATCATTTTTACAATATAACCCTTAATAGTGAAACCGGTAACATTGTTGAAAGTTGTTGAATAAATCTGCCTAACCTTTGTATAGTATGTTACTTATTCTATTCCTTCTACTGTTATAATCCTCCACCATGCAAAACATTCTGGACAAAATTTTTAAGCCACATAGATATTTATGGTTTTCTTTGAAAGCGTCACGTGTAACTCCATCTAACCGTAAATTCTCCCTACCAATTTTTGAATAATCCCAACCGTTTTTTTCATAAAAATACGACACAAAACAGGATTTTAAAAAGCTTTTAACACTTAAATGTTTGGAATGGTATATATATATATATATATATATATATATATAGAGCCAATTTATTGCTTTGTGACGGCATATATTCACCTAACATTTAATTGAATTATAATAATATGGACGGGAGAAGTTAGGAATCGATCAGATTAGTTTTCCCTAAATTTATCATCAATGGTAATCTGTTTTCACTTAAACTTTCAGATAATCTTCAATTGTACATCTAGCCTTGATTTCGCTACCTAAGCACCATTTCCCCTCATCTGAACAATGTTATAAAGTCCCTTTAAATATATAACGTCTTTCTTGTTTTGTTTCTCCCACTCTCTCTCTCTCTCTCTCTCTTACCATACTTTTTCTCTTTCTCTCTTGTCCCGTCTTCTCTCCTCTTCATGTGACACCGCATGGGCGTGGATAATGCATGCAGATGTGAGGGCGTTTATGCCCGAGGAAGTTTTCTGTATGTCTTAAATATTGAACCATTTTTGCCTTTTCTATGTGTATCGTACAGGGTACGCTAAGTTTATTCTATCTGTGGGTATCCAAACAATTAAAAATAAATATTTTTTGGCTATAACTATATGTTTTCATTTGGAATTTTGGAAATAGTTATTCGATAATAAATACAGAGAAATTTATATTGTAGGCCTATATAAAAGTTGAAAAAAGATATGAATAACAAGTGATTAAAATGGAATTAAATAAGCAACCTAAATAGTTTCTAAAATCTTTAAAATGTCATCCCACCTGATAAAGTTCTTCTCCAGTTTGATCTTCACTCAATCCCGCTTCTCGTCCCGCATTTCCTACTTCAACTCTCGATTCCATGGCTGCACTTGTGAAATTCAATTTTTACTCTCAAGCAATATCTTCAGTCCTTCCAGATTCTCTGTTTGGTAGAGATGTTATGTCTTATATGAACATCATTCCACATCATTTATATGCTGGTAAGCTGCACGATAAAGATACTGTTGTTTTCGGCCAATCACACTCGTCTAGAAGCGCGCATGCGCATATGACTCTCTCTCTCACTCTCTCTCTGTATCTGGTGCTGGACTCACTTTTCCACAACGTGGTTCAAACACATGGTTGCTCAGATCAGAACTCCTTGCTGAGACTGAACGATTTAATGGCCGCAAACTGGTGAAGAAGATCATTACATCTCAAGTGAAAATTGTTTTAAATTGGAAAACGTTTAGCCAGGTGAGTGTTCCATTCAATTGTTTTCTTACATGTTTTACTTCTAAACCGGGTTGTGTTTGGGGCAGAATGTGTAAAAAAAAAAAAAAAGTCTATAATACGATCCTAGTTCGTTCATAAACAGTCCTCAATACGTTCATCTCGTCTTTACGTATCCCGTCCACAGTTAGTTCATATCAAGTTCAGACCGGGTAAATTTGCCATTTCCAGGCAGTCCAAGCCCGGCCCCCCCCCCCCCCACTCAGTGTTATTTAGGGTACGCATATGCTCGTTCCCTCTTTTTGAAAGCACCCCCTATTTGAGGACTGCCAACATTTCCGAACCCCCCTTTCGCGGGCTCCGCGGGCTTTTCCTGCCTTGGAGACCCCCCTAAATCACGGGAAAAATGCTCAATGTACCCCCCTAAATTCGGAATAATTTCTCAGGATTCCAAATAGATGAGAGAAAAAAAGAAAAACACCCCCTTTTTAAAGAAATCTCCAGGTGAAAAGTCAAATACACCCCTTTTTTTACAATTCTCGGGCCGGACTTTGTTGCACGAAAAGTACCCCTTTACCGGACATTTTGGCAACACGCATGCGGTCATTTCGAAACCTGAGTGGGGGGGGGGGGGGGGGCGGGAGTCCAAGCCAGTCCGTAGTCAGTTTAAACCCATTATTAACTAGATCTATCTCGATGATGACGAGTTGAAGTGTCTATGGACGGGGAAGTTGGGTTATAAACTAGTTGTAAAATGGTTTGGACTGCTTGGAAATGTCAAATTTACCCGATCTGAACTTGATATGAACTAAATGTGGACGGGTACAGACAAGTTGGACGTATTGTGGACTGTTAATAAACGAGCTAGGATTGTACTAGATACATTAGTCCAATCCGAGCCCGTTCACGAAGTCCTTAAACAGATCGTAACGAGTTGCTATTACGTTCAACTCCGTTCGCACACAGTTTGAGCCCGTTTTCGAGAACGTAGTGAGAACTAGTTTGGTGTGATGGGGGCTTTAGCCATATATGGGAATGTGAACGTATATATTGAAATGCCTTCCAAAGAAATGACGAGTTTGCCAAGGTATTCGAAATTTACCACAATGATGACTTTTGCATTCAGTGGTTACAAATAATATGTTGATAGTAGTTATGAATATAACATACGTAACATGTTACTGCTGGTCTATTTCCATATATCATGTTTCATTTGGCCGATATAACTTTAGATAAAACTCCACATGACTATTTCAATTGAAACGATGCCTTTTGGCTTCTTGGAAAAATATGTTTATAACCCAGCAGTTCGTTACAAAAACTACTATTTGATTTCGGGTGGAATGTCCTCAGACAAAGTCGCCGTTTTGGCAAATCACGATTTCTTCTTCGGCCATACACTTTTTAAAACTGAAAGCAAAGAACTGATCTTTCTAATATCATAGATCAAAACTGATTTAAAACAACCATTATAAAATCGTGGAATTAACCCCTAGTTTGCTCCTTTTTCGTCACAAGAGATTTACTCTACTCTTCGATTTCGTCAAAATGGAATATTGATAATCATCTTTTAGGTCCCCCTTTTACCCCCACCCCCTCAACAAAATTGATTCAACTGAGCTAACTGCCATGGAAGGAATAAAACACAGTGTGCAGGGAGCCGTATGCAAAGGGGAAAAAAGGATTGATTTTATTTCCAGTACTTGAAACCATGATACACTCTCCCTGAAAATCAGTTGTCTTTTAAAGTGGCCCCTAAAGTCGTGTAAATAAAACAAAAAATACTAACGCAATGTTTATCAGATGTTCTGCAGAAGTGAATGGATAGTTCAGAAAGTCATTTGTAATTTGCTTAATTTACAAGTAGTACATTTTGTTTTACATAAGCAAGCAATAAAATAACGAACAAAACAATTTCTCATAATTTATAGTGATGAAAGGTCATTCAAAGAGTATACGAGCTTCCAACAAAACAATGTGTGTGGAGGCGTTGGAGTTCATCTTTAAAAAACATGAATTTCAAAGAATTTACAAAATTTGGACTAACTTATAACACTCTGCAAGATTCAAGCAGAAGATAAAATATCTCATTGAAGTTTTCAAGACAAGCTGTAAGATTGGTTGGTAAAGCGACCCTGCAAATCTGAGAAAATCCTAACCAACGAATATAAATACATTCACATATCTTACCCGACTGCCGTGACATATGCTCTTGAAAAAAAAAGTGTCCGCTTACCCCCCGCTTACCCCCCCCCCCCCCCCCCCACTGAGCGACTTTTCGGCCGGCGCGATTTTAAATTTTTCGAGAGCAAAATATTTTGGGCCCGATTTTAACCCCCCCCCCTTGAAAAAATCCTGCGTACGCCCCTGCCTGCATGGATTTAATTTCTTTTTCGTTAGTTTAATTGATTCTAATATTGAATAAAGCTATTCGTTACATATACACGTGCCACCTGCTCCTTGACCTCTTGTCGGAAGCAGTTACGTAACTCTTTTCGAACATGGGACTGGCATGAGAAAATATTTCTTTTTGTGGGAGTGTGAGTGAAGTAGTAGCCTCTTGTCGATGCCCTCGCGCTGTTGGAGTCTCTAAATTCTGACGAGCGAAGCGAGTCAGAGAAACCGAGGCGCTTGCGCGGAGGGCCTCTTGACAAGTGATCTGAATTTCTTATGTTTTACTTTGTTTGGCGAATATTCCGACCCAGCAGAGTTCGGTGAAAGTCATCCAATCAGAGAGAGCTACTATGACGTAATATCTACCGCTCTGTGCGAATTCCTTCCGTGAGAGCGAGACTGGCCGCCTAGTTGTAGTCTGCAAGCACAAACCCTGGTCAGTCGTAAAAGAGAGTGTGCACTATAAGACTACCATATGCCACGTACTATAGCTGATCCTGACCTATATTGGTACAACCAGTAGGTACCAGTAGATAGCTGGGCTAGGCTTCTCTCAAGGCACAATGATTTTTTGTTAAAGTGTCAAATTAGGGTCTGTGCTTGCAGACTAGCCTAGTTGGGCAATCCCGAACACACACGTACACACACACAATCGCTGCGGTCTAGACATGCATAATTCAGTAGGAAATCGGGTCTCATGAATATATAATTCAGATCACCTGTCAAGAGGCCCTCCGCGCAAGCGCCTCGGTTTCTCTGACTCGCTTCGCTCGTCAGAATTTAGAGACTCCAACAGCGCGAGGGCATCGACAAGAGGCTAGTGAAGTAGCCGATCAAAGAGCTGGAGTTGACTATTTCAAAGACACGAATGGTTCTCTGTTGAGTGCTCATGAATGTTATCACATGTCCCTAAAAGATTCAAGTCAACGCAACAATGAGATAGATCTTCGTAACAAGCATTGTATCATATTAATTACACAGCTAAAAATTCTTCCCTCGATTTAGATGAAATTGTTGTCACATTTATAAGGACTATGATAGATAAATATTGAGGGGCTATTGATAGAAAATGCTTGTTAAAGGTAAAGACCAGTATTGGAAACGCCCCAATTTCAAAAAATGAAATGGAAGCTCTCATTACCAATCATGCGGAAGAATATGTTTTGACTAATACATGATGATAAAAAATTGCCGGGAAACCGCCTACTAATTCATATATTTGGTAAATTTGTTTCTCTCATGGTCTGTGAGAAATATAGGGTAGTCCCATATACATCTTTCTGTGTATAGTGCTTGTAACTTTACGAAGAATGGGCCAAATTTCTTATCATTTTGATGATTCCAGAACCTTGCAGATGCTAGATGCTAGATGATCAACCTTTTCTGATCGATTCCACAACGTTTCTTTCACAATGCAATCGCATGACCATAACTGGTCTTTACCTTTAAATGAAATAACTAATTAATTCGTTCTATAGATTTACTAGACTAGTCACTGGTATATTACAGAGACACTTGATGAACTGTATAATTTTATTGCAGACTCTCTTCATTTTTTTTTTCTTCAAATTTTGTTATTTTGTTAAAATATTGATTGTTCTGTTGGAAATGAAAATAAAACTGAAACTGATCATGGATGTATACTCCACACTCGCTGTCCAAGTTAGATAAAGATCTACCCAAACAAACAAATTAGTCTTTTTAAATCTATGCTATAGACTCCTGGCGTGTCGGGTTGAGTAGAATATGACATTTAACAAATTAAGGTTTACCCTAATTATGGTCAGGATCTAATAGATCTTCTTTATCGAGGCTAACTTTAACTGGAGACTTAAGAATCTTGACATGTAGTCAGATTAAACAAAGAATTTACCAGATTATGACAGTAATGAAAGTCTGAACTATGGCCATATAGACATAGTCATAGAATCTAACTTACATTGTTGGTCATAAAGGTGGATTTTTTTAATACCCCAGTTTATGGAATGATTTTGACAATGATTTATTCTTAATAGATCTAGATATTAGGATACATTCTCAGATTTTATTGAATAATAGTTTGCAAGTGTTTGTTTTAGGTGACTGCTAAAGCATGTGAGTGCTATTATGCTTTTCGACTAGGGGACATACGGCCTTAAGTCATAACTGACAGTAATGAGGGTTAATGCCTCAACAAAGGGCACTCACTAAGCACATCGACACGGCTTTGATCCTGGGGCCTCACAGTTACGAGGCCATTTATTTGCCACTGAATCATGACTGTACGCAGCGGGGCTAGCGTAGGGGGGCTGCCCCAATAAAAAAGAAACACAAAGAAAATGCAATAAATTATCATTAAAGATAAACTTAAGTACTGGTAATGCGATTGCATTGTGAACGCAAAGGTGTGGAAAAGATCAGAAACAGTTGATCATGTAGCATGTAAGTATTAGTGTGCACTGCAAGGTTCTGGAGTCATCAAAATCATAATAAATTTGACCGAGTCTTGATAAAGTAACAAGCACTCACATAGAAAGCTATATATGGGACAACACACATGGTGTCGGGGCTAGTACTACCTTGATTTCCTTGTCTGTCTATGCTCATTACTCAGCCAGTATACATTTTCTTCCAAAATTGTTTGGCACATGTCATTTATTTGTAATCTTGAACATTCAGTGTAAGTTTCGTTTGATTCTGTGAGAATTAATTTTTTTTTTTACCAGTACTGGAGTTTATCTTTAATTCATTGCATTTTGCCCAGATCCCCAACATAAAATATTCTTTTATGTGGCCATGCCTTGAACCATAATGCATGGCCGTACAGAGGAATTTGGGTGGTTTTCATTTTATTTGCAAGCGATCAAAAGCTCTTTAAAAGAAATCTGTACAGGCAATTGTTGAGATATATTGATTGTTTTCTGCATTTTCAAAAAGATTATGTAAAAGACCGATAGTGCGTATAGTAGATAATTCAGACCAATGTTTAAACTGGTGGGTGTAAAATAATATGCTTTTTGATGTCTACTTTCAACCATTTCGTCATACACGTTTCAGTATCATGATGCCACTGCTATAATTGTCAACACACGGTTGTTGCATCGTCATTTAAAAACTGCCGACATAGATAAAACTTAATTTCAGCTGTAGAACTAGGAATATGAGATTTTGAAGGGGAAGCTGATATAATTCGACATCTGGTGTCGAGGAAATGGTTGAAATTTAAAATTCAGTTAATAATTATGAGGTTAAGTTTGTAACCAGCATATGAGTAGTACATTCAAGACCATAAAGGCCAAAAAAAAAAAATGTTTGGTTGCCCTCGATTACTTTTCTGGAGAAGGGGCTAGCGGGCGGATTAAAAAAAAAAAAAAATTAACCTCATTTTTTGTGTGTCTTTTAAACAAATTATTTTAATAATAATTTTTTTCCATAAAAAAAAATCATTGAGATTGTTAAGCATTTAAACAAACAAAGTCTATAAAACACTTTAATATGGTAAAAGACAAGTTTAATGTACAATGAATATCAAAACCAACACAGAAAGTATTTTGGGCTTTGAAATTCAGCACCTTTTAAATCTCCATTGTACTACTTATAGCTACTTGCGCCCTCTATGTAGCAAACAATGCCTAATTGGTGACCATAGGTCCCCCATTATCCTCCTTACCTTATATTAACTGAGAGTTGATTTGATGAGATAACCACCTGTGCAGTGACCTTGCAGGGTGGTCTAATCCCTCCTGTAAACTAGTACAGATGGGCTTTAAAATGAGTTTAAGAATGCTCAGACCCTGATTTGAATGAACGGCATTTTGACATACCAGTAGAAAAATAAAAATGGCAAGTTTAATAAATACCTAATTGCGTACTGAAAAGACCAAACTGGCAACGGGTCGCATTTTGATCCTTGCAAATGCATAAAATGGTATGTTTGGCATTTAAGATTGCTTCCCCCCCCCCCCAAAAAAAAAAAAAAAAATAATAAATAAAAATAAATAAATAAATAAATAAATAAATAAATAAAATAAAAAAATAATAAAAAAAATAATAATAATAAATAAAAAAAAAAATATTAACAAAAATTATAAAATACGAGCGGCCCGAAATGACGAGCGGGCGGTCGAGGACAACCAAATGATTTTTTGTTTTGGCCTAATGGCCAGCTATCGTAAATACACCACCTGGGAGATGTAATTAAATCTGGTTAAAAGGGGTTTCTTACATGACATAAACATTGCAGGTATAATTGAAACGATATTTCTAAGGGTAGAATTTAGGTGAAAGTAGATATAATTTTACCTCCGATAGGGGTGATGTAGACAAGGAAATCAAACTTCGAATTGCAATGAAGAGTACACTCGTTACGATTAAAATGTATTAATGTATGAAGTATGAAGGGCAAAAATTATTGCACTATTCTCCGCTTCATTAGAACATCAATTTAAATGTTAAAGACACGGTAGAACTGAACTGTCTTTGTTATACTTGTGGATGAAACGCCTTCTCTTTTCAAAGAAAACGTGTTTATGGTGTTTACTTTTTTTAAATCTAATAAATTTAGTTTATTACTTTGTTTAATCGCTCCACATTCCATATTTTAAGTTTGTCTCATACGTAATATAAAAAGAATGCATAACAAAACGATGTAAGACATGTAACATAGAGAAATTATATTTTGAAATACGGAGAAGCTTCTATTTCATAAGTTCACGAATGAAATAAAATATTGTCTGTGAATTCGGTAATGAAAAAAAGATGTAAAACGAATAGAAGAAAATGGGTAATGATGGGGTTTCTGCACCTGGTCGTACTTGTACGGTCAATTGAATATGAAATAATACAAGGGCCTAGTCGTATAACAGTCCAGGTGATATTGTATAGTATCGTATTTTTACTGACGACCCATCTGGCATCTGATGCTAAATGTTATTCAGTTTTAATGCCCAATCCGTAATAAATAATAAGCTCAGGGCCAAAGTCAGAAATTAAAATATAAATGAAACTTAATGTCCAATCACTATCGTCCAGTTAAAGATGCTCAAGCTTGAGTATATAGAGGGCAGCAGACGGCCACCGCCATAATTTCCCGAAGGAAACTCAGTGTGTTCATAAGAGCGGTTTCGGAGTATCGTGCGCGATATCATAATCGTACATAATACAGCCATAGGAAGTCTTCGTGAACATTTGCAGTGTAGGTACAGAGAATACAAAGCAAAATCATGTACGCCAAATGTGATAACAACGCCCGGACATTAACCAAAGAACATATCCCCATACACCATAGGCCTACTGATAAAATATGGAAAGTTTCCATATGCAGTTTGAATTAAAAAATAAATTAATAAAATTTACCATGCTCTAAGAGACTTCAGTTGAAATTATGAATTATCCGTGACTGGCGCTTAGGCCATGTAAAAATATTCATGTTTAGCCTCCCCGTCCGATTCCTTTTTTGGGGCCGCCTCCTTTTTATTTGGGGGGGGGGGGGGGAATTTGTGTTATGTGTTTATGTCTCGATCACCTAATTCGTCTCCGTGACGAATTCAATGCCTAGTTTTTCTTTAATTTCTTTCAGTATGGATTTTGTTCGCTTCATATTCTCATGAATGCCATGAACAATGACAATGAAAGTTACATGACATGTGCCTTATGCATGATTATTGAACCTAAAGAAGATATTCCTTTTTAATACTGATGCATGACGTCATTTAGGCGCCATTTCGTTAATTTCTAATATTGACCATATTTATTGTTATTATTACTTCATTTGGCGGAAAACACATGATATAAAATACAGAAATGAAATTAATCAATAAATTGCAAATCACAAAAAAAGGAACACTGGGTGCCCCCGGCTGCGTTGCCAGGCCTTGGGAAAAGTTAACCGAATAACCGTAGTCCGCACACCACCCTCACCTATATCCCATCTAGATGCAACCAGTGCAGCTGATTTATTTGACAAAGACAAGCTAAGATATAAATGTACCACATTTGTATCACAAAAATGCGTCAAGACAAAGCCTACAAGTTTTCCCAAATATTGAATCTCACGCCGAAGACCATAATTTTATTAATCGAATTCGTTTTTACTGACTGACTGCCGTGGCAACAAACTCCGTTTTGTTGACGATCAGCCATGCATGAAGTCTTTCGTCTTCTTTGTTGTTAGGACGGACAGCCAGTGGAACGGATTAGTTTAATAAAATTATGGAAATGCAAGCATTACTTTAAACAAACAGAATTTGTTATACCTAGCTCACTTTCCCTGATTGAGGTGTCATTTGAAAGGGCAAAAAAAATGAACTTTCTAGAAATGTGATTTTCTCTTTGAAATTCAGATACCGTTCGCCAAATGACTGTTTGGTACCCTTTATTCAATTTTGTTTAAAATCACTCATGCGTATATATGAATCATTTGAGTTGCATCAAATGAAGGAAGAGGATCTAAGCTTTACAAATATGTGTCATTTATTAATTATGATTGTGATATAGTAATGATAAAACATCGATAATTCTCGGTTTCGTTTTTTTTTCTGGGACGCACTGTATATATATATATAATTAGACTAACCCTATTGCTAAACCAGTCGATACCTTACCTGTTAATAGTGTACCGTGGCGTGGAGCCAGTCATTGTAGGGGTATCTGTGTCATGGGGTTGGGGAGGGGGCATAAGGGCACCGAAATGAAACGTGAGGGAACAAATGCTAGGGGAGGGTGTTGTGGATAGTCCTATCTTTGGCATTTCCCATATTCCCAACACCCCTCCCGTTTCTCTCTTTCTCGGTCTCTCTATATTTTTTTTGGTCTCAATTTCTCATTAAGGGTACACATACTTTCCATGCTTTCGGTATATAACCGACCAATCCGTCAATACTTTCAATGTAATCTGACTGAATAGACCCTCGCCCATAATTTCATCCCCCAAATCATGCAGAAATTGCGAAATTATAATTTTTGGGAATACTATCAAAGTGTGTACTTTTGTTTTAATACGCACTTTATTAAGTGTAAATCTTTTGTGCATGTTATTCAATTCTTTCTCCTTTTGTTGTTTACATTTATACAGGAAACCATGGCAGCGGTTACTTCTTGGTTTTGTGGAGGAGAAAACTTGTCTACCGTAGACAATGTTTCAATCGTTCTACATCCTCCTGGTAACTGGGCCTCCAACACCTGTACAATAGACCTCATACTACTTATCATACACTTGGTATTTTGTATGATGGCTTCACTGGCTTTAATCTTCATACCTGTATGTAGCATCTCTCGTGCAACTGATCATGGCTACATCATCCGCTATCCAGGTCACGTGGTCCGTTGGTTGACGTATATCCTGTACACTGTTCTATGTATCGGTATAATTGTCGAAGGTATCTTAACCTCAAATGACCATAACTTTGATAGTCCTCCGCGACTGTACATAGTACCATTAGCTGGATTCATGGCCGCCATCTTTGTAATGGTATATTATCATTACATGGAATACTGGGAGCTACCGGGAATGTGGCCTGTACAGTTCTTATACTGGGTGTGCCTCCTCGTCGCAGAGTGTTTCAGGGCTTCTGCGTTTCATCACGATGATATTACGTCACGTCACATGATCTGGGTCTTCAATAAGTCAATGATAGCTGTAGATGCAGCGATGTGTTTGGTGGAAATCTATTTTCTGATGAAAAAGGTAATGACCCGAGCACAGCTAGGCATGCAAGGTCGAATATATTATGACGCATTTCAGTCTTAAATAAAGGTACATATCCCTCCACTTGTGCTTTCATACGTTTTAAAAGAGAATCTTAGTTGGAATATGAAACCTACGTGCGTGATAGCTTCTTAAAAGTCAAATTCTTTTTTCGCCAGCATGCGGCTTTTGTTTTGCTTCAAAAGAATTTTGTATACCGTTGTATAATTACCAGAAAGGGTAAGGATACACATATTTTTCTTCCTTATCCTGCATGTTCATTGTTCCTACTAATCTTTTGAAATAGTAATCTCCACTATATTTGAAGTTTAAAATTGTTTGTGTGGTTATTATTATCATTGAAACATTGCAGTTATCCGTGATTGTAAAAACCTTTTTGATTTAAGCTGCTACTTCATACATTTCGAACAAGCAGTACATCATCTTTCTTCCCTTTCAAATCTTCAAATGCAAACCAGGGATTCAGCCTCGGATCATCACCTAAAGAACATCCTCCAGAATTGAGGAATCTGAAGTATCTTCATGATGATTGTAGTTTACCATCATCTCTCCTCTATGCATGGATGAACGACCTGTTTAAGAAAGGCATGACGCAGGCAATAGAAGATGAAGATATGGGAAGCCTACCCGATGAGCATTCTGCAAAGTACTCCAGCGAACGATTCGCCAAGATTCTCATCCAAGAAAAGGTACTTCTAGCATCTCTTAACGTAAATTCTAGTTGTTTGATAGACCAATTAAATCATATTTGTGACAATGGTTAGGATTATAGGGAAAGGGAAAGCTCACATTTTTTTTGCTGTGGAAGACAGAATTGAATTTAACGAGATCAAACATTTGATCATATAAATTTTAAACCCTGGATAAATTGGCATCATTAAGTTGGCATATAAATTCGTCAAAAGATACCGTCATCGTTTAGTTACCATAATTCAAAGGCCTTCAAATTCTGTACTAAATACTTTTTATTCCTTTTTCTTTCAAGTGTTTTGAGCGGAAAAGCATCTTGTAAATAGACCAAACATTGAAAGTTCATCATTTACAATCGGAAAGTGTGTCTCATTGTTCTTGTTCACTTTTTTGTCTTCTTCATTCGAACCCTTTAGGAGAGGGCCAGAAAGAAAGGCCTTGAGATCAGTTTCAGTCGAGCTCTCTACAGATTCCTTAAGAAAGGACTGTACATATCGGGAATTCTCATATTTATTGGAGTTACGTCAGGTTTTGCCACGCCATTTTTCATCGCTGGAGTTATCAGATGGGTAACCTTACGCAGCCAAGATACCGAGGAGACAGTCCTAACAAATCACGTACGCATTTACTAATTTAGTTTATCACTTTGATCATTGTCACCACCGATGAGCGACAACCATTCCTTAATATGATAATCATAAGGTGTAAATCGCTTTATTTGATTTGCTGTTCATCATTAATGTAATTGTGTCGTGTTCATTTATTTTGCTTTAATTGTTAATCACAAAGATTTGTTTATGTCATCTTATCTCATAGAAATCCCTTTTCCCCCTTGATTCAGTTTATGAATTTGAAATGTGATTTTTATTTCATGGCAAACAATTAATTGCCTATTCCATACGCCTGGATGCACTCAATCATTTCTGTCAATATAAATATATTTTTAATGTAATTTTATGGTAATATTTATGGTATTGATTTATTTGACAAAGTGCCATTGATGATGTCGATATAATTATCTGCACATTTATACATTGTTGAGTTCAGGTCTATCACAGTTATTAGGTTGGGGCGGTTCACATATTATATTAAATCATCTACCCCCCTTTCTAACAAATCATATAATTATAACTTGCATAAGATTAACGCAAACCTAGACGATATGATTACCTTAAATTCGTTAAAAGTTTGTTCGCTCCTTTGACGATCCCCAACTCCGCCTAAAACATGAAGATTCCAAAAAAGTATTTGCATAAGTATTGTATCTTATGCAGTAATGAGTTATTAATGTTTATTTTTCCAACAGATGATGGAGTCATATATCACAGTGGGAGATTTCTTTTCCAATGGATATGTTCTAGTGACGGTCCTCTTCTTCCAATTAGTTTTCCAAAAGATCACTACTCAACTAAGTTATCACTATATCATCTTAGAGGCAGCCAAAGTCAGGGCTGCCATTCAGGTAAACGCACCTTACTACGTTACTTTTGCAAGAAAATTGCATTATGGTTAGACTTGCTTTAAGCAGCAACAAATAACCATCACAAATAACAAATAACCATTATTCAACTTGGATTTAATTGAATTTCATTTCGACATGTCCGCAGAAACCCACAAATATCCGATATTTTACGCTACATCGTTAAGTAACGGTAATTTTCATGTTAACATTTCATTACACTTAGGTGCAATGATTGATTCGAATCTAACTTTGAATAGTCATATTAACAACATTTGCATGCTAGTCTCGAGACGCATAGGCATTTTATATAAATTAGAATATTATCTATCACAAAAGTCACTATTTATGCTTTACAATTCCTTCATTTTGTCATACATATCTTATTGTAACATAGTGTGGGGTAATAGTACTAAGATGAAAATTATGTTAATATATCGTATCCAAAAGAAAGCACTTCGTATTTGTACACATTCACATTATTTAGCCCATAATGATCCAATATTTTGTAAAGTAAAAACATTAAAAATCGCTGACATTCACAGTTTTCAAACTGTAATCTTTATGTATACATTTTGGATTAATACTGTACTTGGCAATTCGAAATATTTTTGTTTACAATTGTGATATACATTCTTATCCTACGCGACACTCATCCGATTTCCACTTAACCAACCCCAAAATTATTATGGCCTATAAATCGATAAGACATCATGGTCCAGACATTTGGAATGCTTTACCTGATATTATTAAACACTCTGCAACTCTTTATTCATTCGAAGCATCGATGAAAAAATATTTAATATCTACATATTCAAAAACATTATAAGGGTCTCAGAGGTTTTTATTGTTTGTTTATATAAATTAATTTTAGATGACCAGTTCATTAACAATACGAATCGAACACTTACTTCACCTGCACACACCCACTTGCACACACTTGCACAATTTCTTTCTTTCTTTAATTTCTTTCCACTTTTTATTCAAATACTTTCTGAACAAATTTGTATACGTGACACTCTATTCCCCTACATACTCCTATACCAGCGCCATGTACCCCCCCCCCCTTCCCGGCTGCTATCGACTCAAGCATTCTTGCTTATGATAGTTGGCCTCTGCATTAACCTTGATTTTTTTTATTTACCTCGATACTTTCAAGGTTTCAATTATGCATTTTCTATTTGTGTGTATTTAAGTTGTCACTCTTTATGTAAATCAATTATATTATATACTATTATTGTTATTTGAATGTTTTATATTTTATTTATCAATAAATGCAGAAACATCTGCTAACAAAAATTAAAAAAAGATATGAGAAAAAGGGTGTACAACCTAAATGACACAGATGATTAAATCGAGACCCACGTTTACTACCTTGAAAATTATTAGGTTATCTTACGAGGGGCATTCCAGAAATTTTAGATATCTTTTTGAGAGCAAATTGTAACTGTCCTAGATTATTACAATGTTAGTACATCATTATTGTGTATCTAATAAGCTGACATGCCTGTGATGTTTTACCAGGGTGAAAGCGCCGGCTATATCAGCAATTTGAACACACCCTACTAAACACTGCTTGTCACAGCTAACTATAGTTTAAATAATGCAGTCCGGAGCTCCTTATGCAATGGCATTTTGTGTTAAACTGAACACATAACTCACGAAATTGTCCATAGGTTAGTCTCTGGTGACCTATGACGAAAGCTGAATCTATCGTCATGATCCACATACCAATAGACAAGATCTTTGCTCCCCAGACCCAAGAAGGTGAGGCAGAGCAAGTCCAACGGGAAGGTCATGGTGATTATTATCGACCCCCACTAGGCAGGAGTTCAGGGAGAGATTGTTTTGTGGCCATTTGGCCAGAGCGCCAGGACTATCCACCCGTCCACACTTTCATCCTGGTAAACAACTAAGAGACTGATTTTAAAACTGTCCTCATCCTCCCTACAGCACAGACCATGCTCTTTGTGACTTTTGGGTGTTCCCCAAGCTATGGGCGTAAATCCTTACGTAATACTTATTGTTCAGGGGGGGTGGGGTGATCTATTCATTCATTCCCCCCTGATCAATAGGTATTACGCCCATGAAGCTGAAGGAGAACCTCAGTGGCAGTCGTTAAAATTATATTGAGGAGATGAAGGAGGCTGTGACAAGAGTGCTTGACACATTCCCTTTGGAGGCCTTCAGAGGATCCTACTACAGTTTTATACTTAATTTGGTACTAAGTAAATGTCTCCTGAAAGAGTCTTAAACCTTCTGGAGTGCACCTCGTATTTTGTCCCTCCATAATTATGTGTATTTCGTCTGCTATTAGATTTTTTTCCCTCTAGAGTCATAACTTTCTAAACATCCTGATAAAATTCTTTCGTTCACTTTGTTTTAAATGATATAGTCAGCAGTGTATGCCAAATCCTTACGCCTGTCGAGTTCGGGGATTGGTAGTGGGTCTCTCACTGTCGGTGAGATTACCAACCACATGTCAGTAGATCCTAGGGCCATATTCTTAGCTTTGCAATGGTTCCATTCCTGCTGGTCTATACCATATCAGGTGAGTCTATTATACGAAATCAGTGAAATGTCAAACAAATGTTTATAAGATATCATATACATCATATGTCTATGCATTTTGTACCTAATGAAAAGGCGCTTATAAATGTAATTTAATCCTTATTATTATTATAATTATTATTATTTTTGAAGAGTAGCCTTTGATTTGTTACCTTCGATGGACCTACAAAGATATATCACATCATGACATTCAAATGTGAACAAAATATGTAAGAGAGAAGTAAACCTTTTAAAAGTAATGCTTTATAAAAAGCTGCAATTGAACAAGGGTGTAATGTTGTCACGTATCATTTAAACTTGTGAACTTTTCTGTTGAGCAGATGGTTGTATACATCATCATTCTCTACAATGAACTGGGGTTGTCGGCTCTGGTTAGTTGCGTCATACTTCTACTGGCTATACCTGTTCAGATCTACATTGCTAATAGACAATCATTCTACCAAAAGGGGGCTATGGTAAGTTTAATTCATGTGAAGAACGAACCCCTAAATCTTTCCTATTTGTCTCACAATTGTATATATACAGTCGATTACTCTAAGGGCTTGTTAATTATGTTGTCAGTATAGTTGTTGAGTATTAGTAAGCTACATGTAGGTAATAAATTTAGGCCAGTTAGTTCATTAATCGCCTTATCATTGTTTAGTAAGCTAGTTAATGGGAAAGGTCCTCGCCCCTATTTTATCCGTCATGCGAGCCTAGGTCCTACAGGTTGAGAAATCATTATAGGTGGATACTATCACCATTTGGGTTATTACATGGAAACCCTCAGTCTAAACGGAATAAATCGTTGTTGACTTTAGAGTTGCTACACAACAATACTAACCAGTGAAGATCAAAGATGAAACATTGAAATGATTTTAGAATACAAATATCTGTGCACAACTATCGCTAATAAATTTACCTGGCATGATGAGTGTACGTCTATTGTTGTTTGAATTTGGGCATGTAGGAAGGATGACTTCAGAAAAAATTGAAAGTGTAGTGAAGCGGTCGAGTAAAATAACAGGAAATAGACGAAATCTGGCAGAAGAATGCAAGGCGCGAAAAGCTTAACAGATCATTGCAAATGAGAATCACAATTTAAAGTACTTTATATATGAATTATTACGGTCAGGAAGGAGAATGCGCTCATTGAAATGACTGACAAGCCGATATTTGGGCTCATATGTTCTATACTCCGTGTGTTTGTACAACCAAGTTGAGTGAGGAGCATGTGGGCTCAGGTATCGGTTGGCGTGATTTTCCTTCCTTCGTTCACCTTGATGTACTATCCTTTTCATCATTTTTTAATGTGTAGTCCTAGAATATAGGAATATTTCTTTTTTTAGCTAATTTTTATTTAGATGTTTTCTTCGATATAGTTTCTTATATAAATATTATGTATTTTAAAATGTGTAACCAAATTTTTCCCATGTATTCTTTTGAATTTGAATGAATACAAGAATTGAATTGAATTACCCTATCGTAATTTAGCTAGATCTATTTTCCTTTCTTAATTGATAACATGGCTACTGTTCTCAAACTGGTTGTTTTGTTATGGTTGATGTTCATTCTAGCAAATGTCAGATGAACGGTTAAAGCAGACTAACGAGGTACTGCAGGGAATGAAAGTCGTCAAATTAAACGCTTGGGAGAGAATATTTCAACAGGCTATCGAGGTCACCAGAAACAAAGAAGTCGGTAAACTAAAGGCTCGAATGTTCTGGCGGGTCCAGCTAAGTAAGTAAAGATTCATAGCAGTGCAGGAAGTATTCCAGAGAACATTTTATGATAAAAACTGTCTTAAAATCGGTGAAATATGATACAAAATTTGAGGACCTTCGCAACATCATGTTTCATCGAAGAATGTTTAAAAGTATTGTCATTAGCCTTTCAGAATGAGAGCGTTAGGAGGAAGAATATTATGTATAAATTTTCAACGGGGTAGTATTTATTAATTTATTCACGTATTTTTAAATATTCAATGCTTACCTAATTATCTCTTTCCTCTACCGATGCAACCTTTCATCGTTATCATTGTTAACCTAATAATTGTCGATGATATTTGTCATATTATTGTTGATATGATTATTTCTATCACTTGTCGTTTTTTAATTGCTAGCACTGTTATCATCGTCCTTATTCTTTTTAGTTAACAGAAATGGGAATGGAATATATATTTATATCATTTTCTTTCAGATTCCTTGACCAATGCAGTCCCACTTCTTGTTTCGCTCATAGTAAGTATAACAAGTTACTTTAATTAAGCATAACAACTTAGTGATACGAGTCAAGTCTTTAGAGGGGCAATTTGTTTGCATAATGTGTATTCTCTGAACGACAGAAGCAAAATCTGATAAAATGGGCTTGTGGAACTTTGAAATATGATATATAAAATATTGATGGTGCTTTGTTAGTCATATAGATTTACCCAATATAATAATATTTCTCTGATGATGTAATTGGGAATTCCAACATTGAATTTCGGGTCCTCATCTGATTCAATTTAAATAATATAACATTAATCATACTTTTGATTTTCAATGAATTTGATATCACCTACCGTGCCGCTTTTACACTTAATTCAAATATCAAATCAACATTTAAAATGGCAGATATAACATTTTGCATCGAATAGTATTTATATATTCTTTGTTCATGCCCTTTAGTATTTTATTTTAAAAGCGAGTGTAAAATGTTATGTTTTCCTGTTTTGGACTGATTTAGGCTCTGAGCCTGAACAGTGTATTCACGGGCAAGAGCCTAACTCCTGACGTAGCCTTCACATCATTAGCAGTCATCAACCAGCTTCAGCTCCCTCTACAGATACTACCAAGGGTGTCGTCTTTCTTCGTCATGGCTGTCGTCAGTATACGTAGACTAGGAAAGTTCTTCAAAGCACCCGAAATCGAAGGCAATCTATTGAAGGGCGGTGAAATGGATGAGGACAACGATGATAAAGAAAAGAAGAAAGTATGATAACACATTGTGGGATCTGTGATTAATTGACAATATATATTCATCCTTGCAACTGGTACATTGTATATGTTTTATGCCTTATTTTATATTACCATTTGATGATTTGCTGTCTCATCTTTATCTTTGTTTTTAAAGTTAAAATCTGTATATACAGTTAACATCAAAATAATTCATACGTTTTTATGGTATGTGAACATTAGATTTTCCCGATTAAGGCGTCTTCAGAATCTGACATATCAAAGCTTACATGTAAAATTATGTAACAAAGACCCACATTCAACCATTCTACCTTTCATTGTTGAGTTAAGGAGGGGGAAACATCAAATTTTAATAAAAGGGTATGAATAATTAAGTTGTTAACTGTATGTTGTAAACAGGACATCATGGAAGACCATATTTTTAAAGATGAATGAAGCTTCCTGTATGATTATGAGAAGTAGATAAATAGATGAATAAACAAAATAATTTACGGACAGGGTGATCGAATTATGAAAGGACTTGTGTGCATTACGATAGTATAGTCATGTCGCTTCGAATTTGGAACAGAGAATTAAAAAAGGAAAGGTTCGTACTGAATCGTTGAAGAGGAATCTGATTGACATTGACATTGATATTGATATTATTTTCTGGTATGAGTGATATTTATGAATGATGTAGAAGATGCATTTTTTTCTTCATACACGAACATTCTTCTTCCGTCTTTAGTAATTTCATCATCTTTTTAATTTAGCACTGACTAATACCTGAATATATAAACATCATTTCAACGTACAATTTCATGATGTATTTATGTATCCCCCGACGCCTCGCCTCCCTTTTTGGGGTACTATTTATTTGTAGAAAGCCACCACTTCCAGCGCTTTGATCCAAAAACTGAAGAGAGGTTACGACAAGAAATACGGATCAATTCCATACTCAACGATGTCAAACGCTCACATTGAATCTCCAACGCAATCTATTCCTATGTCAAACATGAATGGTGAAACAGTTCCATCTGGCATTGCATTGAAGGTAGGTAATATCACTCGCCATTTATGATAAGTAACAAGGTGATCATCATTGCATGTAAATATAATGTGGCGACTAGATCTATGAAATCTACTAATCATTGAAATGAACAAATGTTCTCCTTCACACCCTAGACACATTTAATAATTAGAACAAAACAAGATTTGAAAACATCGTTTTCAATTTAGATTTAGATATTTTCTAAGGCTAATAGGTATCAAATTATATTCCTTTACTTTGCAAGGCAGATCTTTTTTTTAATTTTTTTTTTACAATTTATCATTTTACAACGTATAATACTAGGGTGATCACAATGCCTGTGCACACAGTCTGCCCCATGCACACACACACACACACACACACACACACACACACACAAACACACACAACAGCAGTCAGTTGGTAGAAATAGCAATTTTTGTAAATTTTTTTTTTAAAAATTAAACAATATTTAAAAAAAATACATTTCTCATATATTTCAAGCATACCTTTAACTACAATTCTGTGTAGTTTCATTGTTATAGGCATGTGGGAAATATGTTAAATTATTTAATTAGAATATTGTCTTTTCGGCCATGTGTGACATGGCTTGCTGATCTTTGATGTCAGATCATTAACAACCTCGAAAAGCCTTCGTAGATCACATGATGAAACTTTACTCCTGTAGTACTTAGTCTGAGCATGAGATAGTTGATGATAGTATGATCTGCATTGCATTTTGTATATGTCCTTGTTTACTTGTAGTCCAGACTTTAACATGCGTCTTTCACAGCGGCGCCGAAGTTGTTTTTCACGACGTAAAAGTGGAGTATACCACGGCGCGTTGGGACCGATAACAATGTCTCTTTCAGTGATAGGTGCATGGGAGTCAAGGACCTTTCGCAGTACACTTTCATAAAAGGATGTCAAAGACTCGGCGTCGTCGCCAACTTCACTTTCAATAGACATTCTAAGATCATGCAGAAAGCTTGGTAAATCAATAATGATGAATCAAAATCGATTTTAGCAACTGTCCACCAAAAAAAGTATATTTTGATTTATCATTATTGATTTACCAATAGAAGCCATTGGACTTAAGATTCCGACCTGAAAAGTGTTTCTTAAGGACCTTTGGCCGACCCATTCTCAGCAAACAAGTCACTGCGACGTGATCAGAATGTAAATAACTGCAGTTCTGCAGACAGGATGCAATGCCGTCATCTCGGCCAGTAATGACCAAGTCTAATGTATGACCCGATGAGTGGGTTGGAAAGTCAACGTGGTTATGAAGGCTGAATAAATCTAGTAACTCCGTAAAGGCTGCAGAATCTGTATTATTGGCATTGTCCATATGGAGATTAAAATCACCAGCAAGTATGGTCTTCACTCTAGACAAATGCAGACCTTCCAGCAAAGATGTCAATTCTTCAAAGAATTTTGAAGGTGTGCACTTCAGGCGCGGATCCAGGATTTTCCAATAGGGGGGGGGGGGGGGGGCTGGAAATTTGAAAATTGGGCAGACCTTTTTTTAAAACTCAACATATCAATACTATTACAAGGTCATATTAGAAGCACCATACCGGTACAATTTTGACATTTCCATCGGGGGGGGGGGGGGGGGGGGGGGGGCTATAGCCTCTTGCCCGAAAAAGTAATTCCTGGTTTCACAATTCGGCTAGTAAGCGAAGCGAACAAGCAAAAATTTGAGCATAATATGTAAAGTGTGAAAGTGTTATTTATCACGAAAATATACGAGAAAAGATTTTTTTTAAAATCATATTCGGGCAGCTTGCTGTCCCCCCTCCCCCCTCACCCCCAATTATGCGCGAAGCGCAGAAGCTCTGATGTTTCATGAAATTATTAGAGGAGAGGATTCGGATTTGAATTTAGTTCCTCCCCCTCCCCCTCTCGCGCGAAGCGCGGAAGCTTTGACCTTTCATTAATTATAAAAGAAAGAAGAAGATTTGTTGTACCATTCTCGACTCTTATTTCTTGTCTGAATTCAGTTCCCCTCCCCCTCCCGCGCAAAGCGCGGAAACTTTGACCTTTCATAGTTTAATGAAATTATTAGAGAAAGAATTAGAAGATTAGTTGTTCCATTCTCGACTCTTAATCCTTGCCTGAATTCAGTTGACCCCCTCCCGCGCTTTGCGCGGAAGCTTAACGTTTCATAAAATTATTTGAGAAAGAAGACTATTCGTTGTACTGTTCTCGACTGTTTATACTTGTTTAAATTCAGTTTTCCCCCCTACCGCGCGAAGCGCGGAAGCTTTGATGTTTCTTTAAATTATTAGAGAAAGAAGATAATTCGATCGTTGTTTCATTCTCGACTCTAAATCCTCGTTTGAATTCAGTTTTCCCCCTCCCGCGCGAAGCGCGGAAGCTTCGACCTTCCATTACATTATTAGAGAAAAAAGACGATTCGTTGTACCATTCTCGTCTCTTAATCTTTGTTTGATTCAGTTCCCCCCCCCCCCTCCCGCGCAAAGCGCGAAAGCTTTGACGTTTCATTATATTATTAGAGAAAGAAGATAATTCGTTGTTCCATTCTCGACTCTAAATCCTTGTTTGAATTCAGTTTTCCCCCTCCCGCGCGAAGCGCGGAAGCTTCGATCTTCCATTACATTATTAGAGAAAGATGACGATTCGTTGTACCATTCTCGTCTCTCAATCTTTGTTTGAATTCAGTTCCCCCCCTTTGACATTTCATTAAATTATTAGAGAAAGAAGACGATCTCGACTTGTCAGAATTTCAAAAATAATTCCTTGTCTGCTCCTTTTTCGTCCTATGTCCTCTTACTGCCCCTACCGCCCCTGGCTACGCGCCTGCTTTAAAGGGAAAATGAAACAATCATGATTGTGATAGCACACAATTAGGTTTGTAGAAATCAAAGATCTATTACACCAACCATGGATAAATCACGGCCGGGAGCGTCATATCATAGTTTTGTGTTATCGGGCGAGGGCCGGGGCGTAGCGGCCAAGTGAGATTTTGCAATGTTGAATGCTGAAATTATGCATTCTAGAAAATCCCTAAGCTCGAGATTATATGCGGCCGGCCGGCCAGGCCCCCTCTATTCAATAACGTTTGCCAAGCCTACTGGAATGACCCCAAATCTCCCGATTACAGTTTTTTCCTTATTTGTCGTTACTGTCACTTAGCGCCATTTCCTTGTCTTTCCTCCTTTCTCTCCCGACTTTTCTCCCCCCCCCCCCACCCACTCAGTGTTATCTAGGGTACGCGCATTTATGTACCCTCTCTTTGAAAGCACCCCTCTATCTCCGGTGGGTAAAGTTAGTAGTACGGGCCGGACACTGTTGTGTGAAAAGTAACCCTTTTTTGGAGATTTTAGGAACAAAAATTGGGGGGGGGGGGGGGGGCTTTCTTCGTTTTCTTTTCCCTTTTTCTCTCTCTCTCTCTCTCTTTTTCTTTTCTCTTTTCTTTTCTTTTCTTTTCTCTTTTCTTTTCTCTTCTCCTTTTTTTCTTCTCTTCTCCTTTCTTTTTTCTCTTTTTTTCTCCTTTTTTGCGCCGCCAATAGGGGGGGGGGGCCGCGGCCGTTTCGGCCCCCCCTGGATCCGCCACTGCACTTGTTCTTCCTTGTATAAGGAGGGCGATAGACTACAAGAACCGAATTTCGTGTGATGGGGCACACGGACAAGAAATAGAGATGTCTATATACTCAAAGGACTGCACACTTGTAAGTTGGTTCAGCGTCATATCAAAGCCCCTGTGCACAAGAATACCAACTCCTCCTCTAACAGTACTGCTCCGTGGCACATGATGAAACACAAAGTTTGGAAGTGTATCCCGGATGTTTGCAAGAGCCCGTGTGTCTCGGTCAGAAGCAGTCAGCCACGTTTCAGTGACAGCCAGAAGGTCAATCTTCTCGAGCTTCACAAAATCATATAGAGCTGTGGCCCTTCCCCTTGATTTAATTGACCTAGTGTTCCAAACAGCAAACTTAGCCGACAGCTCGTTATTGCTAAAGTCAGTTTGCGGTATATCTATGACATTTCGATAAAGCTTGATCATTTGCACTCATCATAAAACATGTGTTTGTTGTACTAATTGTTGGTGTGCTATACCTAATAATACTGAATTGAATGTTTGTTATGTTAATTGCAACAGATCACCAATGGTTCATTTTCATGGAGCAGTGAGACAAGAACACCCATAATATCAGATGTCACTATTGACATACCGGCAGGCAAGTACTTTCATTTTTCATTTATGATAATGATTCTTCCAATGTACATATTTTTGATATTGGTTGAGCACATAATGCCCTAGATTCTAGCAGATAGCCACCAGACTCTGAGCCTCCAAATACGAGATTTGAATACCTGCAACAGCACTAACGGCAATAGACATTAGTCTATGTTTATCCATCTCCACCCAGGTAAAGGAAAATGAAAACGGAAGAGATAGTCATTGAATGCTTGAGCGCGGTATCATAGAGTACAGAAGTGTGACTTCATACTTCCCAATTCAAGTTGTCGAGGATGCTGGTTCCAAACCATGTTGGCGTGGTGGTGATCACATCAGCGTCAAACACTAAACACGACAAGTTTAACACTGTGACGACCTTCCAACGACCAAGTCTTACTCAGCGTAACTTCCGCCTGCAAGAGTCGACCCCCTGCTTCCGCATCCAAACCATGCGATACTCCAAGTGCAAAGTGAGAGCATCCACACGGTCAACTTTAAAGATCGGTGTAGTGACCGTCTGAACGATAGTCGCATAAGCTACTTCGACCTATACGCCGACTGTTTTACTCCTGGATTTCTTCCACCAGTAACGCGCTAACATGACTCGAGGGTAGCGTATTTCTATATTTACGCTGACTAGCTCTAAACTCGACCTTCACGCCGACCAAATTTTCCATCGTGTGAACGCGGCTAGTTTCTAGGCCTATACTGACGACGCGACCCTTGGAAAGTTCATTATGAGATATCATGAAATATAATGTTACCAGACAAAAGGCAAACATTTCTTTTATTTGAGTAATTACCAAAAAAATAATCAATGTCAAATGAACAAACTAATAAGAAAATAGATTCTCTATTGCATCAGCTGAACGCGCTTTTCATTAAATTGTATTTTTTTCGTTTTGTATACACAGTTATCGTTGAGTAATTGCTGCAATGAGATGTATTTGTTATTGTTTCAATGTTTATTGGCTTAATTGTTTCATATTTTGATGAGGTAACCATGGCCATTGTATCATTACAGGTCGACTTACAATGATTGTTGGTAAGATTGGAGCAGGTAAATCTTCTCTCTTGTCGGCCATGTTGGATGAGATGATCACGTTAGATGGTGTTGTCGAACATCACAGGTAAAATAATGTTTAGACTATTCAAGTTCATGCCAAGTTTACGCTGTATTTATATGTTCAGATAGGATAAGTTTTATTTTTTACAAGTTGTTTGTATACTGTTTTATATATATATATATATGTATGTATATCAAATTCTCTTACGTCTAGCCAAAGTATAAACGAGACAAGTATAATTTTCTTTCCATTTTGTAGTTTAATGTGATTGTTTGTTTATTGTTCCATATTCCACAAATTAACACGATTGTTTCATACATAAGATTTAAAAAAAGGATACAATATAAAACAATGATAGACAGGTAACATAGAAAAATAAATAATATGAAATTTGGGAACTTATCAAGAAGCAAAGTTTGTAATTCATAGGATCCCGAATAAAATACTTAAACAAATATATTGTAACTGAATTCGATAGCACTAACGAAAGACGTAACAAAAAAGTTTGAGTCACTGACACATTAGCATTATGAATAACATGTTAACATAGAAGTGGTACATAAAAAATATGTGCATGTAGACGTGGTTAGCCGAGTGAAACAATTAATGTATGCCAGTTTTCTAAGGCTGATAAGAAAGAGAGAGAGAGAAAGGGAGGAGTGAAAGGCAAAATTGGTTAAAAAGGAATCTTGAGCTTAAGCTTGAAGGAATATAATGAGAGTGATTCAATTATGTTTGTGCCCAAACTATTCCAAAATGAGGGACGTGTATAACTTTTTGTTTTCAAAACAAGGGAGAAAGGAAAATAGGTTTTTACCTGGTAGGAATGAATTTAATTTTTTTTACAAACATAGGAGGGACTATCGCCTCTATTCAGCTTCAGTTGATACATGAATAAAAGTAGTGTATAAGTCTCTTAATTTTAAAATACATGCAATTGTTTGTATGAAATATAGGAATGGTGTATCCACGATGGCTCTTCTTTTGTATCGTCAAAACAGATTAAATTTTCATTTTTAGAACAGTTTCCCCCTCACTGATATACCATAAGTTGAGTATGGTATCATAGCGTAGAGTATAATGTTCGTAAAATACAAGTAGAAAATAATTTTTTAGTTTATTAGTAACCCCTACATTTCTCAAAAGTAATTGGCATTACAAATTTAAAAAAAAAAAAAAAAAAAAAAAAAAAAAATCGATTGTGAGTTTCCATAATATTTTACAACCGACATGAAAACCAAGACATTTTGTAGAATCTGTTTTAATTCATAACCATTCATTTCATGATGATGAGGTAAAGTGTTAAACGTGTATCCAAAAATCATTTAGTTAGTTTTCTTAAAAATTAAGGGACAACTTAATTATCTGCCTGTATCCAATCACATACGAAATGTAACTCATTATTCCCGGTATTAAGAAGAATCTGGGGGTTATCATGAGTGTAGAATGTACTAGTATCATCTACAAAAAGATTTTTTCTTTGTGACTTTATTTGAAATAAATTTGTTTTCTCGTTTGTTTGGTTGATCTTTCAAGCAAAAAGATCGGAGTTGCGTATGCAGCACAGACAGCGTGGCTGATCAACGCTAGCCTGAAGGATAATATCTTATTCGGAAACCCCTTTAGCCAGAAAAGGTATCCACTTAATTCTTCTTGCATGCCTCCCCCTCTCTCTATAACAAAAATGTTTCAACACAAAAATTGTAGGTTCAGCTTTAGATTGGACCAAAAAAAATGAAGAAGGAAGCAGAGTATGTGATGACCTCCTTAAACAAAATTGGTTTGAGCGAAAAGAGATGAAAGAACTGAAAATAATAATTGCCTTATTAAATGAAATTGAAGACAATGGATAAACTGAAAAAAATATTATCATGCCAGTTATCTCTTTTGAATTCGTTCCAGCTTGTTAAGCACACAATACCTCGTTTAGTTTACATATTAATCTTGAATTCTAAATATTGTATCTCATTACCCACCCCCTCCTCCATCGCAGATATCAAACAATATTGGAAGCATGTTGTTTACAGCCTGACATTGATATCCTCCCTATGGGAGACCAAACGGAGATAGGTGAGAAGGGTATCAACATGAGCGGAGGTCAGAAGCAACGCATCAGTGTAGCCAGGGCCATGTATAGCTCAAATGATGTCGTCCTTTTGGTAAGTAATCATCAAATTTATCACGGAAGTAATCATGCATATTTATTATTAAAAAAACTTTAATAGATCAATCGTGGTGCAGTCAAGTTTAAGACCTGTAGGTAGAAGTTGTGCTCTATCGCAATATCTATGACTTGATCTAATGATAATAGTCAGATATGAGTTTGCGGAAGGGGGAGGAGGGGTTAAATTGGGTATAAAATGTGTTGCCCAAAAAGAAAGCATCCTGAAGCTCAATGGGGTATCCAGAATAGATTTACCGCGAAATAATTTGTATCTTTTAGGAACGCTCGCTTTGATCCATCAAACTAGGAACCTTCATCCATCTCTCTCTCTCTCTCTCTCTCTCTCTCTCAGGACGATCCACTATCAGCCCTTGATGTGCACGTTGGTAGTCACATGTTCTTCAAAGGTATTCTTGATTTCTTGATCGAGGAAAGAAGAACTGTCGTGCTTGTCACACATCAGGTCCAATACTTGGAGCATGCTAATCAGGTGAGGGTGTCAGTGGTGGATTTGGGACTCTATAAAGCAGTCAATTGGGTGCTAGTTTACTAATATACAAATATAGTCCTACAATACCTTTCGAGGGTCCAGCAAAAATTATGAGCTAATGAAACGGCATAAATAGTAACTTTCCCTAAGGCAAATTTTTATTAAATTTACCTCAAGGGAAAGTTACTATATTTATGCTTCTGAATGCTCATAGTATGCTAGACCCAACAAAGACATTACATATCTGCTTTATATCCCTCATGAGACATTAGCATATCACTATTACAAAGAAACATGTACTGTGAGCGTTCAGCAGCATACTGATAGGCCTAAATTAAACAAAAATTAAACAAAAATGTACACGCATAGTGATACACAGTAAAACTATTAGCTTATAAGGGGGAAGAAAGAAGAAAAAAAAAAGAAATGAAAATTGTGATGACACTACTGACATTTCAAGGATATATTTCATTAACTTTCCCTTGAGGTAAATTTGATAAAAATCTGCCTCGGGGAAAGTTACTATTTATGCCGTTTCATTAATTTGCAAATCTATTCATCATGGATATTCCCTGTTCTTTGATCTTATTTTTCACTATTTTTTATCCCTTTTTTCTTGTCTTCCCTCTCCCCCTCTCTTCTTCAATTCGTATCTGTTTCCTCTCTATCATTTATAAGATGCATGATTTCTTTATTCCTTGAAATGTCAGTAGTGTCATCACAATTTTCATTTCTTTTTTTCTTCTTTCTTCCCCCTTATAAGCTAATAGTTTTACTGTGTATCACTATGCGTGTACATGCAAGTTTATCGCCTATTGTAACGTTGTTCAGATGAGAGATAGTGGTGCTAAGGTAGTGACTTCAATGCTAGATGTACAATTAAAGATAATCTGAAAATTTGAGTGAAAACGGATCATTATTCATGTTACAAATTGGGAAAAACTGATCTGATTGATTCCTTAATTCTCCCAACTAGACCTAGACTCTATATTATTCCATTTCTATTCTGCTACTTGTCAAAGCCTGTTCAGCATCAAGACAAGGACAATTCAATTACATTTTAGGTGAATGTAAATCGTCACAAAGCAATAAAATGGCTCTACATTCCATTCCAGACAGTTAAGTGTTGACAGATTTTTATAGTCTGTTTTATGTATTTTTATCATGGAAAAACGGTTGGGAAAATTCAAAAATGGTTGGGAGAATTTACTGTTAATCACTGTTAGAGGGTGCTTCACATCGACGCCTTCAAAGAAAACCATAGATATCTTTGTGGTTTGAGAATTTGTTCAGGATTTTTTGCATGTCAGAGGGTTAGTATAGTAGAAGGAATATAGTAAGTAGCATTTTATACCAAAATTAAGCAATTTTTTTCATCAACCTTCAACAATGTTACCGAGTCACTTTAATACGTTATTGACATATTGCATCTTTCCTCTTATAACTTTGATTTTATTGTTCTTCAGTGTAATATACTCATATTACTTTACCCTCGTGCAATATCTTTTTGATAATATTATCCTTGTACTTTTAGGTTGTTACACTCCGCGCTTTCTCATGTTACCCATGCTTTGTGTGAAACCCCTTCTCCTTCCTCTTCTCTTGGGTTCTCATCTTTTTCTTTTCTTCTTTCTCTTTTATTATCTCTTTCCTCAGCTATTATCACCTTTTCCCTCTTTTTTTTCCTTTCTTCTTTCTTCACACAATACATAATTTTCTTTTCTTTCTTCTTCTTTTTTCATTCTTTTTCTTACATGTACTTTGATGCTTTGATAGTAACAGTGAATATGACTTCTCTTTTTTTATTTCTTTTTTATATTTTTTTAAAATCTACATAATTATAATCCTTTTGAGATACAATTTTTTTGCATTGAACTTTTATGTGTTGCGGGATTGGCATAACTTTACTCTTTTGACTTTAACGAATTTGTTTAAATGACGTTGATATTTTATTTTGTCAAACATTTTTTTTTAAATCTTTTTTAAATCTGTTATTTTTACTTTTTAAATCATATTTCAACTTGAGGTGCACTTGGCAGAGATTCTTCTCTCTTTCTATTTTACTTGTTCTACTCTGTCCCTCTCTACCCCTCTCCTCCAATCTTTCGTATTTTCCCTGATCAACTTTTCTTTCTTTTTTCTTCTTCCTTCTATTCCTCTTTCTAGTTCCGTCTTTCTCTTTCTCTTTTTTTCTCTCTCTCTCTTTTAATGTTTTTTAAGGTTTTTAATGTTTTTAATATTTGTAATATATTTAAATTTTAACGTAATATTTGTAATATATTTAGATTTCGATTTAATGTTTGTAATATATTTAGATTTTGATGTAATATTTGATTCGCATTTTGTTTCATTATGCATGATTTATAGTCGTACATTTTAGTCATTCATATTTTGATCGTTTATTGTGGTGTACATTGACTTTGTAAATTGAATAATTTCAGCTTCCCAGCTGCATGTTTTTTTATTTCAATAAACCGAATCAAATCAAATCAAATCAAATCAAAAGGGAAGAACAGGTGAATGACTTACCAGATTAAAATTCCTTCTCCTTAGTTCCAGAAAAATCAAAATTCAAGTCAAATGAATTTTACAAAAACACGTTTTTAATTGTCAGAACTTCCAAGTAACAGCGTCAAACAATCCAATATAAAGTCTCAAAGTCAAAGCAGAAACATGAACGTATTTACATGGATGGCTTTTCCTTGTTTTACTTGTTGAAAATATTGACCGTACAGCCATGAAAGTGATATTCTGGCCGTCGATTTTAATGACGTTCATCGTGTAGGAGGCTCTGGTAGTGGTGCTCCCAGTAGTGACCGTTGTGGTGGGCTGCCCTTGTGGATTGAATGGAAATTGATCGGGTATTTGATCGAAAACTCGCCCCAGCTGACTATCATTTAATGATGGCATGTTTTAGTCTCAGGCTCAGCAATCATGTCCTCAGTGACAGTTGTCTTAGATGTAGATGGTTGTTCCTCAACATTTGCACTGCCACTGGACTTCGGGCTTGTGGAGTACATTTCTGACATCATCTTTTTCTTGGCTTCACTTGTACATGCGTAGTTCTTAATATAACTTTCGGCTCTTTAGCCAGACACCGTCATTATGTCTCGGGATGGATATCCTGCCTCGTCCAGAAGAGAGATACTAGTAGCTCACAAAGAGTGATTTGTGTACATTTTGCAGCTTGCTTCTTGGCAGATTTTTTTCAACATTGAGCCCACGGTAATCGTTCCAAGCGGTGCATTTGCATACCACGAAGCATCAGTTTCTTTTGCTTTTGATTTCGGCCTCTGCCACAGCCATTCAGTCATTATTCACTTTGGACAGATACACTTTGAGGCTGGTTACAGAGAAAAGGGAATTTCCCGGCAAGGAATACATCTGTCCTGCCTGGCTCTCATCATCATCATCATCTGCATAATTTTTTGGCATGCATATCGCAGAGTGTAAAGTACTCACCGTTATTTCTTTCGGCTTCATGGAGGACAAAATCTCCTGGCGTCATGTTCCCTAAATTCTCCATACCTCTGTTAGCAAAATACAGCATGGTGTCAAGGAAAACCTTCTTTTGGAGACCATCGGCAGAGAATGAATATAGACTTTGCAGAATCATCGTCGTGTCATCCTTCGGAATGACAGGGTGGTGTTTCACAGCAGCTTTTCTTGTTGCTTTTAAATTTTTCACAGAAATTTGAACGTTTTCCCACTTCTCGAAAACGACTCCTCTTTGGTAATGTCCACATTTCTTGACGCCAAGAAATGCCTTTGAAGGCTAAATCGAAAAGCCTGCATTGTTTTCTTGCTGTATTATTCACCATTCTGATTCCGAGCTCTATCGTAGAACTGCGAGAGAAGGAGGTCTAGGGCTTCGTTATCCACAAGATCATCATCAAAATCGGCTTTTATTTCCGTACAAAAATCCCGAAACACAGAAAGTCCCAACCTGATCAGTTTCTTCGTGTTTTCGCTGTCACATCCTTCGTTAAATTTTTTATTCCACATCTAACAGGTAAAAACGGGGATAGTTGGCAGCCATTTCACCACGGTCACTACTGGAAGCAGCCATTTTGTCGAACTATGACTACTATAGCCTACGCGCACGCCGTGCGGGAACTCTGCCGATGGCTATGCACAATATACCGGCTGAAGAAACTTAAGGCGGGGGATTTAGCTTGCGCGCTCGTTGCACTCCAAAAAATTGAAGAAATTTAGATATCGAACGCAGAAATATCGGTGATCGGCGGAAAAAGTGGATTCCGGAATTTACTATACTATGTCAACTAGTAAATTTTCTCACGCCTCTCAAATTTATAATGAAATTATTTCCTTTTCGTGCTCTGAACAATCGCAATGCAAAAAAAAAAAAAAAAAATGAGGGGTATAAAATAAAAAAAATCTGACATACAAAATATCATATTTTCCAGGTTCTGTTTGGTTCTAAAGTTGAAACGTACATATTTATTCTTTAGTGTACTAATGGTTGTGTTTTAAGGGGGCATGGGCGTTTTCCAGAATTTCTTCAGTAATGGGGATAATCAACGGGTCTTACGTCCCCGCCACTGGTCTTCCAGTCCGTTAATATTACGACCGATTAGGTTGCACGTGTGATATTTCCATATACTCTAAAAACTCAAATGTTAAATCACAAATTAAAAGGGCCAAGAAGTGATCGCTTTTTCAAAATGATATATTAACACTTTGAACATGCTGGATCCAGCACTATCTGTAGCGTGTAAAAGGTGCTACTCTGAAATTTCGAAAAGAACAACTTTACCTTTTTATATGGTGGTTTAACATTTTATTTTGGTCTTTAGATTGTGCAGGTTCAATTCTTCATTTTTTAGGAGGGGGAGGGGTTGTTTTTGCTTGCTGTCCGAAGTCACATGTCCCACTTAACATTTAGGGTTAACGTGACAGTTAAAATAAGGTTTAGGTTTCGTGTTAGAGGTATGAATCTTTGGACTATACATCGGACCAAATCGACATAATAACGATGCGACGTGGATGAACCACTATGTATATGCATCCGCACAGAGGGTTACAACTGATTTCATGATCCAACGGTTACAACTGGGGGGGGGGGGGCGTTTCATAAAACTTGTCATCAATAACAAACGACAGTTTTTGTTGTAAGCTACTGAAATCCATGCTTCTGATTGGCTATCAGCAGATTTATCACTGATGTTTGTCATTTGTCATTGCAAAAAGGCTTTGTGAAACGCCCCCCAGATCTCATGATCCAAGGGTTACTTGGAGGGATCTCCATGCTGTAACCTTTCTTATCAGGTCTGACTATGGTGACCTGTATATAGTGAATGATTTCCGCAAAGGATGTAGACGAGGCGGAAAGACATCAAATCTTTTAGACATTAAATAAGTGAAAATAGCCAAACGTTACGTCCAAACATTGTTATCGATTTGTTTCTAGTTTGTCGAAACAAATACGTCTCTTTAGTCTAAACTTTTGCAACATTATTGTTATGATCGTTTTGATTAATATAAAGAAAGAATATAGGAATGACAAACAAAAGGATTGTAACGATGTCCTTCGGGGATCTTTCTTGAAAACGGTTTTAATATGTGCAATATTATTGTTATGATCGTTTTGATTAAAGAATAAAATATAAGAATGACACATACAACGATTGTGATGATGTCCTCAGGTGATCTTTCTCCAAAACGGATGTATAGCGAGGAAAGGAACAGTGCGAGAGATTGGTAAATTGGATCCTTCCCTTGTAGAGTCTTGGAATCTATCTCTCATAGCGGCCGATGAAGCAGAATTAGAAGTCGGATACTGCAGTTCAACAGATGAAGAACGCGAAGTACTCAAGAAACAAATATCGACGATTAAGAAAGGTAAAAATAGATCACCAATGAAATAGTCGTACTATTTATAGAATCAAAATGGGTTAGACAAAGAGGCTTGACGTTTCGTATACTTGCACCACGACTCCATTCCTGGCACAGTACTGACTAATGCATATTTAGGAAGTCATTAAATTCATTGTGCACAAATAGTGTTATTTATTTTTTTAAACTGTTTTAGATGATTTTTGTGCCTAAAATCACATAAATAAGAAGATGTTATGGCATACGATTTTTCACCAAACTCTGGATATGATAGAAATTATTCGCTGTTTTTTGCTAGTACTTCAAGTCCAAAAGAAGAAGGGGTGTGGATTTGAATTAATCAATTGTTGTCATTATTAACATTTAGATCAACGTCCTCAAAATGACGACTCTTCAAGCAAATTGATCAAATCGGAGGAGAGGAATCGTGGTTCTGTATCCTTTCGATACTACTGGTATTATTTATGTCAGTTTGGATTATGTCCAGGCTTCTTCGTCTGCTTCTTTGCCATACTTCAGAACGTGGCTAAAGCTGGAACACAATTCTGGCTTTCTGTCTGGTCATCGGCTGGTGCCAAGTTACCCAGCAATGCAACAGCTGTAAGTAGGCCTATACATCCCAATCTGTTTTCTCTTAGGGACTTACATATCATTTGTTTTGGTATTATTATTTCCTTTTTGCAACCAAAACTTGAGGTTAGATTTTAAAATGCAAATCAAAAAATACAAACGGATAGATAAAAATGGTGGAAATAATGTACACAAAGTCAAAGAACAAGTCGAGTCTGACACATAAATATATGAATATCCATGTGCTACGATCAAATTATTACACATTATAAAATAAATTAAAGTAAGCCCATGACTTCAATATTTAATAATAATTGTATGTATCTGAAATCGTTTTCTCATACAAAGAATCTTGCGCTACGATTGGTCAAAATTAAATCACGGGATGAAAGATAATTCTCCCATCATTGATGGGAGAAGAAAAGTTCGTTACACTGTGTACTATCTTCAGTGAAAGTGCGTTGCTAATAATAGGTTTTTTCTATGATATATACATTCTCAAACGAAATCCGTGACACCAGATATTGAAGTGACACCAAAGGAGGAAGAAATCAACGATAAACCTTTACCAAAAAAAGTAAACACATCGGATTTAAAAAAAAATCTAGACAGTGGGAAATCGACATCAATTGTTTCCTTTGTTTGCAGGAACAAAGCAATGCTTTGCTGATGAGATATATCGGTGTATACTGTGCTCTGAATGCGGCTGATATGGTCCTGTGTATGGTATGGACAATGATTCTACTCTTTCAGTGTGTCCAAACCTCAAAGAATCTACATAATTTAATGCTAACTCGAGTACTGAGGGCACCAATGAGGTGAGTACTTATTTTAGAGAGATCTAATTCCATTTGACCATAATTCATCCCTTTTGTCATAGCGGTATATCTGCAAGATGATCACATACGATCAGCGGGGGGGGGGGGGCATGCCTACTGTGTCTCCACCCCTTCCCCCACACACACGTACATGCACACGCACATATACGCACACACAAAAACACACATTGTATGGTAACCTAAAGGTGTTTTTTTTAGTAGGAGAGAAAATGATGGGAGAGGGGAAAGAGTCGTGTAAAGGAGATGATAAGATTTCCTCCCACACCCCTCATATTTACCTTAGAAGATATAATTTAAAAGTAAACTTCGAACACACAGACGAACGAAATTCTGATGCGCGATTTAAATCAGCCATTATACAAGTCATAAAGTTTGGTGATTGACAACCCCCCCTACATAGTACTTCTGGAAATGACAACTATAATTTGAATGTGAATCTATACAGCAGCATGTAATATACTTCAAAAACATAGTGTGTGCATTTTGTCTGCCAATGTGGCGATAAACATGCGGATAATTTTTTCAAATGTATTCACATTTTATGGTACAACTCTGATTCAAAGACAGTAAAGTTTAGAGTGATACACTTCTTTCTTTATGTTATAGCAACAGTCTAACCAATGATTTCATTATCTTGCAGATTTTTTGACACGACCCCGATTGGACGAATCATGAACCGTTTTGCTTCTGACATGCAGAAACTCGATCAGGTATATATGCAACATCTAAAGCAGGTTTAAAAAATATTGTCAAGAGTAACGAATTTCTGTCTTTTTCAAACAGTGCCTTTAGTATCTAAAAACATAATTTATTTTCATCTTAGGATTTTTTTTTGGCAGATTTAGAATTAAAAATCAAACACATTTTTTTCCTCCTTATTACAAAAAGCAAATATAAACTTTATGTTTACATCAAAATACATGGCGGAAAGAGGCGATAATTTGTGAAAGCATGACGCTTGTAATTGTGTCGTCTTACAAACAATGCATCCATACATTTCGTTGCAGTACAAAAGTGTAGAAAATAAAGAAAAAGAAAAATTGCCGAATGACACGAGACAAATACATTTTCAATTTTCCTTCTCTGTTGTAGACCCAAGGACCATTCATCTTGGGTACATTTAAGTTCTTCTTGGCGACCATGGCTGGAGTGATAATTAATGCAATCATCTCCTGGTATTTCATTGTGGCTATGATCCCAATCGTCCTAGCTTACATGCTAATTATGAAAGTCTTTATTGATAGCTCAAGGTAAGTGGGAAAATTGGCATGTATAGTGGTTGTCATGTAGCAGTTAGGTTTGTTTATAAAGCTTGGGATAGATTTTGTTTTTTTATGTATTACTTTAAATTAGGATTTCCTTTTGATTTTGATTCTATATTTATTTGGGGGTACTAGATGTAGTGAGACGCCAAATTGGTTGACAAGAACTATTTGTAATTACGTATATATTATCTACATGAGATGCCCCCTTACCCTCACGCTCACTGTCTCTAAATATCAAAAGCCTAAAGGCAATATTTGTTTTGTCCCCATCGCAAATCAGGTAGTTTTTGAGGGAGGAGGGAGTTAGAATGGATGAGGAGGGTGGGGTAGGAAGGGGATGGGGATTTGAGGCTATGTTGGGCAGGGCAGGGTGCAACGGGTAGGGGGTCAGGAAGAACATTTTAATTTCATCTTTATTCAATGTTATAACTAATATAATTGTTGTAGCTGCTTTTTTGGTGTATTTTTTATATTAAGTAAGTTATCAAAATCAATGATTTTATATGTAACAAAATGTCTTTTTTTTTTCCTCAGTTATAGTGTTAAATTTGGTTTATTGAATGAAAAATAAAATATATTCTGAAACAAAAAACAAAAAGGCCCCGGTCAATAAAATCAATCGATGGCAGGATATACAGATAAACTCAAGTTTTGAAACTGATGCTGGGTTTTAATAACTTTTACATAATGATTTAGCGTTATGATCATGAGATACATGTACCTCTTTTGTCACAGCGGTGGGGAATGATTGTATTATAAGTACATAGTGATCATGTGTGTTGTTTGACAATATTCATAATGAAAAGGGTTCACTTTTCACCAGAGATAGAGGCATTATATGGAAAAAGTGTTAGTAGTAGTAGCAGTTTCGATAGTAGTACGTAGTATTAGTATGTAGTAGTAGTAGTAGTAGTAGTAACAGTAGTAGTAGTAGTGGTGGTAGTGGTAGTGGTCGTAGTAGCTGTTGTACTAGTAGTGGTGGTGGTAGTCGTAGTAGTAGTAGTAGTAGTAGTAGTAGTAGTAGTAGTAGTAGTAGTAGTAGTAGTAGTAGTAGTAGTAGTAGTAGTAGTAGTAATATAAAAGTAGCTTCAATATCACAATCGTATGTATATTTTACATTAGAATACAATATGAATACTACATTATCATTAAGTTGTTGTTGTTTTTCTATGTAGACTGTACACATTAAAACATGTTGACCTAACGTGTGAATAGGTAATTATCATTAAGAAATGATCAAACTTTGAATGTTTTGTTTTCAAATGAATAACACAGGGAAATGCAACGGTTGGTGAGTATTTCCACCTCACCCGTCTTCTCCCATTTTACTGAGTCGCTTGGAGGTTTGTCTACTATTCGTGCCTACAGGTAATTAAGAGACTTTTTGTTGTAGATAAGGGATTTTTCAAAGGGTTTCACCAGATATATTACGATGAGTAAGTATAGGCAATACCATACATACGAAACTCTCATGTCATTGTATATAAAAGAATGTGTAAAAACAAACATGCTTACTCGTCTACTGTGTTAAAATAAATATGCCATTTCCTTCTCTTTTCATTCATTTTCCCATAGTGTCATTCCCTTCTAATGTGAGACGATTTTTTTTTTTACAGACTTCAGAAAAGATTCAAGCAGAATATCGTCCGTAAAATAGAGAGAAACCACGTGGCTTTCTGCTTTCTTCAAGATAGTAACCGATGGCTGGGGATCCGATTGGTATGTATCACGTTCCATTCAGAGATCAAACTTTTAAAATGGTGCTCATACTGCATTTGATCTTTGTGTTATCGTGGCGATGGATATGACCGACGTACACGTTTGAATTCGATTTTTTATTGACGGTAATAAAATGCCTGTTATTAACTACAAAGCTGCTCTACAGGAATTTGCCATGATTTTATAAGAACTTGAAATGGGTGGCTCAAATACAAAGGTATATGGTAAATGTCGTAAATCATTTAAGCTAATACGAGAGGGAAAGAATAATCTTTATACCAACACAAAATTGATTCTATTCGTATTAACTTGGCTGCATTCGGGAAGGCAGGGAGCAATTTCTAATAAATAACATTTAGTCTCGTGAAACATAGAATAAATTAATTTTTGTATTCAAACTTTTACCAATATATCTGTATTTACGATTTAAAAATGCCATGTGCATAACACCTGAATGAAAAAGGATGTGTGTGTCAAACAATATAACATCAAATTTGTATTTTGTGAGTTCTTTTTCTACTTTCCCCTAAAAAAAAACTTCAGATTGAATTAAAAGCCGACTATTGTCTTTGTGATGTTTGATCCTGCTTCCATTGTTCTGAAGGTCTTGATAAATGATTAATGATTGTACTGAAGGAGGCTGCACTAAAGAAAAATGAACGTAAATTATCTAATAATGATTACGGAATCAGCTAAATGATTTGTTAGAAACGTTTTTCTTTTAACATCAATGTCTTATTACCATTATTATCATTATTATTTTGCTCTATTTTACAAAGGATGTGATAGGAGCCCTGATTGTTCTAGCAGCTGGACTGACTAGTCTTGCTGCCTCGGCTCTTCATCCAGCTACTTTTGGCGCTAGTCTTGTTGGTTTGGCAATAACATATGCAGTCAAGGTAAATATAAATTTCACATTTTGTTAACTATTTCTGGAAACTTAATATCGCGAAGTAATGCTGGAAGAGAATAAGGAGCAATGTGATTAAGACTTTGCAACGTAATTTTAATTAAGACGGTTGAAAAAAGAAGGAGATGGTCATAAGCAAAGGAAATGAGAAACGTAAAAGAAAAATAGAGAGACCGAGATAGAGAGAGAGAGAGAGAGAGAGGGGGGGGGGGGGGGCTAGGACCATTTATCAAATTCAATAAAATTTGTAAATAAGGAATCTCTGAAATTTGCAACATCAAAATGCACAACCAGTATTTAATGAGCTTTCCAGGATTACATGATATTTGATTCTCTTCCTTAGGCTGCATATTCCCTGACATGGGTTGTTCGTAATTCAACTAGTGTCGAGTTGGGCATGAATTCTGTAGAGAGGATCAAGTACTATACCAAGGTAGAGAACGAGAAATATCAAGGTAACTCAAGTAGTCAAGTATGGTCATCTTCCTTTAAGATGTAATCATACCACAAATGTAATTATCAATTGATCTAAAACAGCCACTAATGCTGACGGACAATTTTACAACGCTGTTCAATGTGTAATGTTTAATACATTCATAAAATGTATTTATACATCATGTTTCTAGATCGGACATTGTGCTAGGGTGTACATCCAAATTGAATATTTACCGGTTTTAAAGACATAAACTTTGTGAAAGCTTGTATACTGATTGAATCTGATTTGATGATACACAAACTTTGAACCAAAATGTTGTTCTTTTCATTCCAAACTTAGCTTCTGACATGTCCATGAGGAAGCTTGTAATGAAGTGTGTTTTTGAGAGAGAAAGATGGTGTAAGTGTACCAGCACACATGATAGGTAGGCTTGTTGAAATCAAGTCTTTGTATATAATCAAACGCTATCATTCATTTATTTTAAAACAGGATCTGTTACTCCAAGCCGTAATTGGCCAGAGATGGGCCATGTATTATACAATCGAGTACATGCTAGGTATGCGGCTACCCTACCTGCTATCCTTCAGGATGTTAGCATTGATTTCAAACCAGGCATGAAGGTAATCTATTCCATACCCATCCCATCGTACTTGAATTCTATGAAATTTTATCTTCACAGCAAAACTAATTCGTTGGTTCGTGATATCATTGACGATATCCAAAATCATGAGGTGAATGTCGAAATCACTATTGAAGAATGCCATTTTTTTTTATCTCCACTACGAAAACCGGACTTATAAAAGAGTAAAACAATATTTTGATAGATAGTGTCCGTACTTTGAAATGTCCGACCTCTAAAGAACTACCAAAGTTATAAATAATATACTAGAAAAAAAGGTTTTCTCTCTTCCATTATAATTTGTCGGAAATGGCAGCATTGGCACCCTGTTATTCTAAAAAAAGAATAAAGCGCTTTAAATTGTAATTTGTTGGTATGATTTGAAGTACATGCAGATGAACCAGGTTCCAATTATTTG